TCCTACATACTTTAAATCATCTCTGTTACTTATAATAACTACTGCATTGTAAATGCTATGTAAAGGCATTATTTAGGAAATAAGAAGACATAAAGTCTGGCCATATTTTGTACAGGTGTCATTTTTTCCCCCAGAATATTGTGATCTGTGGTTTGTTTAATCCAACAAGGAACTCTCAGAGACATGAGGGGCAGACTACATATATATGCATGTAAGATATACTCTACAGCTCTATATACATTAGACGAATTAATAACCTACCCACTGTGACAGTAAAGAACATAAGATTACATCCTGTTACACGATATATGAGTTCTTTATATTTTGTAAAATCAATTATTTTTGTATGAAAAGAGATGCCTTCTCAGCCAGGGTGGTGGCACACACCTGGAAGCCTGAGGCAGAAAAATCCCAAATTTGAGGAATGCTTGGATGCCTTATTGAGACCTTGCCTCAAAATTTTAACCTCCATCCTCCTCCCTAATCAAAACAAACAAACAAACAAACAAACAACAAAAAAAACCCCAGCTGCATATATAGCTCAATGCCAAAGCCCTAGGCTCAATCACCACTATTTTTAAAAAATTAAAATAAGATCTGCCTTCTCATAAAGCATTTGTCTGTCTTGATAAAAACTAATGCAAGTATTTTTAAAACTCAAAAAATCTTAAGTTGTGAGCCATATCCTAGAAATAACAAAGAGATACAGCTGTACCTTGCTCACTAACACTTTTGTTTGCAAACAATTTGCTTCACCAACAGAAGCATTTGGCAGTTTTGTTTGAAAACTGCACAGGATGACAAACACAACTGCAGCCATCTTTCCCAAAATCACAGAACACATTAAATTCGTGGGCCAAAGTATCACTGCACATTTTCATTATCTATCTTTTTAGAGACAATTCCATTCTTCTAATTAAGTTGCCCGAGTTCAAACCACCGCTTCAACACTAACATGTGACCCTGGGCAAGTGAGTATCTCTACACCTCAGCAAAATAGAGACATTAATATTGATCTCATACACCTGTGATGAGAACAAATGAGTTAATCCATATACAGAACTTACAACAGTGCCTATCATGTTTCCATGAGTTATGCCCAGTGAAGACAAAGGCACAGCTTTTACTGTCACAGATCTTCTAATCTAGTGGGAATTATAAGTAACCAACAAATACTGTGCTATACCATCATATGGTATATGAGAAGAATGTGAGACCCAAGTTAGAGTTCTGGACAGGTTTTCTGGAAAAAATTGGGGATTGCTATGCCACAGCAAAACAGGGGAGGTCAGATCATCACAAAAATGTAGACAGCGGGCTGGGGATTTAGCTCAGCAGCATAAGCACCTGCCTTGCATTGCATGCAGTCGTGAGTTCTATCCCAGTACCAAAAAAAAAAAGTAAAAAGACTCAGAGGCTCTTCCATTATGAACAGGTGGGAAAAGCAAGGTTGGTAAAATGCTGGGTTCAGGGTAAATCAACTGTCCAGGGCAAAAGACTACAAACTTGGCATTCTAATCAAACAAGAAATTTTTGATAACCCGGAGTGAGATGATACTACAGTAGCTACTTAAAAGGACACCAAAATTGCTGTTTAAAGAAACAAAAATTTATTATTTTTTATTCTTGGCTACTTTTCTGAAGATTAAATTTCCCTTTTTGTAGTATGCTGTTCAAAGGAAGAACTTGTGATTTACCAAAACACATTTGGATTACTTAAATCCACATCCTCTAGGATAAACGTAAGTCATGAAGTTGATTTGATCAGTTTTAATATTAAAATACAGAAATCAACAGAGCATAATTAGCTTTAACAAAAAAATCAAGACTAGTTTTCCCACAATTCAGTTGATACTGCAGGATCCTGTTTTACTAAGATTATCTGAACACAGCTATTTAAATATACTATATCTTTCCTGATCATGAGATACCAACTCCCATTTGCATAGTACTTTATCATTTTGTAGAGCTTAGAGGTGTGTATAGGAGGATGACAAGGCAAATTATGACCACTAAGTGGATGAGAAATCTAAGACAAAGACTAAACCATTTGTCCAAGCTTTAAAAAAACAGAAACTCAACATTTATTCATTCAACAAATATCCTCAGTGCTATGTGCTGGGAATGATAAGGGTGGAGAAAAAAAGTTTCTGCTCTCTAGGAGTTTAATGGAAGAGAGACAAAAAAGTAAACACATAGAACATAAGATAATTTCAGATAAACTGTATGAAGGTCAGGGATATAGCTCAGGAGCACAAGCATCTGCTTGGCAAAGACAAGGTCCTGAGTTTGATTCTCCCCAGAACCAAAAAAAGTTATATGAAGAAAATATGGCATCAGATAGTGACTGCAGATTGACAGTCATCAGATCTAAGGAAGTAGCATCTGAAGCAAGGTTTAAATAAAAATAACTCATATGTGGCACATCCTAGAGAGAAAAAGTCACGCATAGAGTCTCAGAGGCAGGAAGATCTTGGATAGCAAGAGTACAAACAGTTTACATAGAATAACAGAGAACAGTGGCCTGGTTATACGAGGCTCTTAGGCCATTCTAGGAAACAGGATTTAAGGTGCAACTGGAAATATGTGAGATCTGATTTGTTTCAAACCAATTATTAAGCTTTTTACGAGGAATGCATTGTAATGCCATCAGCAACAAGAAGTTTCAGGCTTCAAAAGTACTGATAATGGTGTATTCCTTGGAGAATATTCCCTCCAGAGGATGCACTCACTAGGGAGCCCAGGCTGACCTCAAACTCACAGCAATCCTCCTGCCTTCACCTTCCAAATGCTGAGATTACAGGCCTGTACCACTGTACCCGGTTCATAATTTTTTGTAAAGTACCTTGTAGACATGTAAGACCCGAGCAGAGAAACTAACTAGACTGCGATGGCCCAAGATATGGAATTACTATGTGTCACACACATATGGTAGTTTAAAAACAAACAGCCCCAGAGTGCAATGATGGTTATCTAGCTTTGGGATGGTGCAGTGGGGGTGAAAAGGAATGGGATTTAGAACAGGTACTGGCAATATGGTCAATAGGTGTTCCCGAGAGGCAGTGACAGAAACCAACGCTGACCCACGCTTCTCAGTGAGAGGTAACTTTGCCCTCCAAAGATCGTGTGCAATGTCAGAGGACATTTCTTGTCACAAGTGATGTTAAGTAGAGGGGTGCTGCTAAACACACTAAAAAAGCACAGAAGTGAAACATCCCAGCATGCCTCTATTTATGGAGGAATCCACCAAAAAAAAAAAAAAACTTAAATCTTTAAAAACCCAACAACAAAAAACTCAAATGCAAGTCATTACTCTCAATATTCACAGAAATCTAAAGTAAACTACAGCATACTAAAAGTTTTGGTGGTAAATTGTATCAAAGTGGTACCTTATGTTGCTCAAAGGTCTGAGGTGAAGTCTAATAAAATATTTTAAAAAATCAATTACTGGTTAATAAATGCCATTTGTTGGGCGGACTTTCTCAAAATAAAAATAGGCAACTAAAAACTTTCTATTTACCAACATAACCAACACTGCTTGCAGTTTCTAAATACTGCTACAATTAAATCTGTAGCCTGATATACTTACTGCTTTTCTAAATACAATTTCCATAAAAATACAAAAAGACAGCTAAAAATACTGAAAAATTGACGTGAACTATAAAAAGGTAACATTAAAAAAAAGCTGGTTCGGCTGGGGATTTAGCTTAGCGGCATAAGCACCTGCCTTGCAAGCAGGCGGTCGTGAGTTCAATCCCCGGTACCGATTAAAAAAAAAAAAAAAAAAGCTGGTTAGCAGAAAATCATGCTCCACTTGTATCTACAAGCACGGGGCCATTTAAATTCAAATATATTTGGATTTAAAACAAGTGAACACAGTAGTTATAGAAGCGATCAGGAAGCTTGGAACACGTATTTACCTCACTTTCTCCAGGACCAACAATGGGCAAACTACTTTTCTGAAAAATTCACAGAAGACAAAACCGCCACAAAGTTTAGAGAGCTCGTTTTTTAACCTTATTCTTTAACTAAATGGAAAGAATGTGAGGGGCGGTGGCCTCACTCTGGTATACACTTCTAAAGCACCTTTATTCGTTCCTGGAACTACTACTGCCAGCCGAGATTTACATAAGATGTTTGGCAAGGCCTGAAATTATTCGATAACTACAGAGGTTAATAGAAATCGTCCCCCCAAAAATCACTTAGTCAGCGGATGATAATTCAAAACTACCTTACACTTGAGAACCCACAGGTGCATAGGAAAACTACTAAGGTACAAAGGTAGCTTGGGTCAACAAACGGGCCGCACTAAAACTCGCTAGGGACACAGAATGTTGTTCCTAAATCTGAGTTTTTTACGAATAATCACGTTTTCAAAACAGTCATATTGGCATAGCCAACTCATTCACATGTTAAATAAAACTTTGGAATTACGACACCTCTAGACTAACTCCTTCCCCACTTGGGACAGAACTGGAAAAAAAAAAAATCCAGGCAGAAGTAAAATACAGGGGCACTTTACTACCCTGGACACCAGGCCGGGTTCCCACTAGGCCGGGAGGACGTTTTCGGGAGCGTCGCCGCGCGGTGTCCGGCGCGCTGCTCCTGGCCGCGGCTCCCTCGCGACAGTCGCGTTGTCGTCACCCCGTCGGCGTCAAGCCCTTCCCCATGGACACAAGGAATGGCCTCTGCGGAAAACCCTTCCTGAGATCGCGACCGGTAAAAAGCAACCACTCCTTTTTCTTCAAGCTTTCAACAACTCAACCCCAATCACGGTACCTGCCCCAGTCTCAAGCCCTCAGGCCCACAAAACAATTACCCAGCCTCACCCCGACCACGCGCGGAGAGGAGGCGCCAACATCAACCCTATTCTCGCGGAATGGTGAACTCATCTCTCGCGACACTTTCTACCTCGGCTTCTTTCTCAGCTCCACCTCCCCCCTCAGCAATGCGTTGCCTCAGAAACATCGCGGGATTTCCGTCACTCAGTCTCCGCCTCTTTACGGCACGATGGTCGCACAAGAATGTGATAGAATCTCGGCGGCCGCCATTTTCTTCCTTTCTTAGCAGTTAGCTGGAAGGAGATCTCTGCGAAGCCGCAGCGGCTTTCATAATACGGCCATGGCTGACTATTCAACAGTGCCTCCACCTTCTTCTGGCTCCGCCGGTGGTGGTGGCGGTGGCGGCGGTGGTGGAGGTGTTAACGATGCTTTCAAAGATGCGCTACAGAGAGCCCGGCAGGTAAGTGTGGACCGCGCGGCGGGCGCCCAAAAGCTCACGGTAATTGGCGGCCGGCCGTGTAGGCCGCTTTCCCCTAGCGCTTGAGAAAGAGGAACGAGGTGCCCTTTCGGGCTGAAATGTGAGCAGAGTCACGTTTCCCCCACGTTGGTGATAGCGGCTAGAAAACAGCTCAGGTTTAAGCCCTTGGTGTTAGACCCCAACGCGTGCTGCTCAGAAAGTGGCCCTAAGTCCCCCTCCACTCCAGCAGCGTCTGCGCCCGTCCAGGAAGTTAGCCGGACTCCCCCTTTCCACGGAAGGGACACCCTTGTCCAGGGTCTCAAGCGGGGTGGAGTTGCACAATCGCATGGAAGGTTCTGGTAATGGTTTGGGAAACGACTGGGATCAGTCTCCGGGAACCGGAGGAAGGGCAGGGGTTTGTGATCAAAGAAAGCGGCCTTTCCAGCCTCCGGCGCTTTTGATCCACCCCCCCCCCCCCGCAATCAAAGCAGCCCTGGGCCACGTTCACCTTCACCTCTGCGAGGAAGAGGCTTCGGGGAGCAGCCTTCCTCTGGGCAGGATTGGCGTGTCATTTTCTGCCAGTCCTTCCCTCGTATTTCTCAAAATGGCCCCAGGCCCATTGTACCCGGGGTTTCAGTTTGAATCTGCCTCTCTCTTTTCGGAGTCGTAAACTGACCAGACCTCTTTGTATTACGTAGGTGCCGTACTATTGCCCCGAAGGCACTTCTTTGCCAGATAAAGCTCTTTAAAACAAAAACCATAAAAGAGGTGCAAGTACTTTAGGGAGTGAGAAGATTTCTTGATTTGAATTTAACATTTTAAGGTAGTTCTTTGATGCGTTTACAGGTTTAAAAATGTATGAGTTTGGTATGGATTTGTGTGTAAAAGAAAATAGAGCTTTAACTCTTGTTATGACACTGCATATTGTATTAAGTGCTAGATATTTTAAGCAAATAGTCATTAAAAACCAGTTTTTAAAATTCACTTAAAGGAATTCACTTCCTTTAACTTTATACTCCCTCGTGCAATTGAAGTTATCAGTGACAAAATTCACCAAATCTGCAATAATGTTTCTTCACCATTATTTTTCTAATGTAAGAACATATTATGTGTGAACACATTAGAAAAATTTACCTGGTCTTGATCCTATTCTAAAATAGTCACAAAAGATCACCATTAATACTAATTCTGTATTTTTTTCATCTTTTAACCTTTTGAACGTACAGTAGCAGTGGGACATTCGTGTAACTTACAGAAACTTTTGAGTCCTTTTCATTCAGTCGAGTTGGAGAACCTACCAGTTTTATATTAAACTTGCATATTTAATTGTTTAGTGCCACACACCATACATGGATACTGGAGTTTTTAAACGTGAATTGGATTCTTGCTTTCTAGGAACCTGTGATATAGACAGGGAACCAAATGAAAATGAACAGAATTGCCAGATTAATGATTTAATAAGAGAATAGACATAATATGAGCATTTAATTCATCCACTTGTTCTGTAAACATTTACAGCATTTCTGCTGTGTGTCAGGCACTGTACAGGATACCAGGGAAGGGGTCCCTAACTCCCTGACCGGTGACATTTTTGCAAGGCACAGTGAAATGAAAATGAAGTGAAATGAAAATGAAAGTTTGGCCAGTAGAGAAAAGCAGCAACCTGTGCAAAGGTATGGGGATGTTTGGAATGACCAGAATCCAAGAACACAGTATTGAATGGGGGAAGTATGTTGGAAAGTTTGTGAAAAAGGTACCGTTGGATCTAAATATATAGACCACGATAAGTGGTAATGAAATTTTGTTTTGAAAATAAACATGAAAGAATGTTGGAAAACATTTGTTACTCAAAATGCTTTATGTATGCCTGTGTCAGATTCTGGGGATACAAAGAGCTTTATCTACTTGTTGGCCTCTTAAGTAGAATGCAGCTTTATCTTTGATCAGAATGAACAAAACATCATACACATGTATCTGAAATCTTGGGGGCCTTGCTTTAGAATTGAATGATATACATTATAATGTGCTGATTTGTTTATAATCATTTTTTTTAGGGTACACTACATAATGGGCTGTGTACTAAGCATATCTTATCAATTCATTTAATTGTCACAGCCATTCTACAGGTGGGTTTAGAAACTATTATCCCCATTTGCACAGATGTGGTAATTGAGGCACAGAATGCCTAGGCAAGTTTGGCAAGGACAAAAGGCTGTATGTACAAAGTGATAGAATTGTTAACAATGCCCCCACAGTGGAAAACATGATGAACAAAAAATTAGAAAATAGACTAATAGACTTTTGCCATTTAGGTAGTTTACTTAATTATGTTCTGATCATTAACTTTTTTTTTTTTAAAAAAACCTGTCAACTGGTATTACTGTCAATTCCAGAATTCCTAGATTTGAAGAATAGACAATGAGGAAGATGAAAAATGCTAATGAAAATGAAAGCACAAAAGATACTTACTCATTCAAAAAGTAGAGCAAGGTCCAAGTGGAAAGCTTGTTTTTGTAGATTAAAATTAAATATGTTGGCCACCCTCAATGCATGTCTAATATTCTAATAAGAATATTGGGGAGGTTTTTTTTTTTTCCAGAATTTTCTGTTAAATGAGTCCTATTTATAGTAACCTAGAAAGTGGATTTTCTATTGATCCTGGAGGATTGATAATCAGATTTGTATTGTTACTGAAAGGTCTTCTGTAACTAATATTTTTGTGTCAGTTCTCAGTTTTTGAAATACTGCTGTTTGTTTTGGATGAACTAAGTATCATCTTTCATTGGATAGTTTTAGAGCTGCTCAATAAGTAAAAGTATGTATCCTTTTTCTGTGGGCAAGTTCCTTGGAATTCAAGGAGCACAGTTCTGCAAACAGCATTTACCAAGCTACCTACAGACTAAACTATTTCCTGATTATTAAAGGTAGTTTTTCTCCATGCTGAAATACTTCTAATCCCCATGCCTGTCAATGCCAGACAGTTTTGTTTTGAGGCAGTATCTTACTACGTGTAGTTTAGGCAGATTTTGAACTCTTGATGATCTCCCTTGGTGGTCCATAGACTACTGTGATTATAGGTGATTATAGGCTACCACACCCAGCCCTCAGGCAGTGTTTTTAATTTACTAAGGGACAACTTATGTGCTAACTAGGTGTTTTGAGGTCTAGGGTGAAAGCGATATTTCCTCTGTGATTAGAAAGAGCTACCAGAAAATTGAATTATTTGCCCAAAGATGAAAATAAGCTGATTGATACAATGGCCTTGCATTTAAAGATGGTTCAAAAAGGTTAGATTCAGCAAATATGGTCAGGAAAATCAAATTCTGGACCTTTTTTTAATCAAGCAATTCAATAATATGCTTTGTGTGGTACCTGTCTACATTCACAGATGAAGAAAAGGGAAATCTAAGAATTTGAAGTATAATTGGTGTATGAGGTCTGATACGTGAAGTCTGACTATATTCTCACCCTTTCCAATTTCCCGATTATGTTACAAGTGTGACGTAGTTGGGTTAGTTCCACACCGGAATGGGGGTGTGGGTGCAGTCACCACAGGTTTTTACTCAGCCAGCCAGTCGCAGGGTCTTCTAAGTAGTTCAGGCTGACTTTGAACTTGCTCTGTACCTCTGACTGTCTTTGAACTCATTGCAGTTCTGCCTCAGTGTCCTGAGTGCTGGCATTATGAGTGTGGGCCACATGCTGGGCTAATTTTAGTTTTTTAACATGGATTTGAGATACTTAAAAGCTGTAATGAATTTTCTTGAGTCTATCACACTTGTTTGATAGAGAATATAAAACATAATGTAGAGGTTGGCCCTTAGTAACATGCCATTTCCCTCTTCATAGAAAAAATGGAGTAAATTTCTGTTGGTTTTGCCCAATCTGTGATTTGAAGCTGGTATTTCTTATATGGTGTGTGTTTGAGTGCAAGCAATTATTTGCCACTCTTAAATAAAAAATCATGTAAGAGTAAAGTGAACTTAGGGTTCTGCTGCTGATTTTCATAGAGCTCCTGGATCTCCTTTATAGATCTTTAGAATAGCATCGTCCAGTAGAAATATAACGCAGGCCACACATTTCAACTCAGGATAAAAGAACTAAGGTCCCAGAAAGTTTTCTCACACTCATGCCTACACCTTTTCACTAGTGTTGGGAAGAGCTATGGGAAAGATACAATTAAGATCCACATTCTCTTCAAAATTAGTTTCTCTACTAAAGATAAACTAATTGATTGCTTCTTTATTGATATAAGGATGACTGTATAGGTTTAATTTCAGACTGTAATTGTTAATGGTAGTAAAAAATTGAACTACAGTTTTTTAGTTTATCAAGTGATTTTTAATGTGATAGTATGTAGCATATATACCTAATAAAGGAGGGATTTTAGTATTAAATACTATATACCAATTTGTGTTGCTGTCCTTAATGGTATTGTGTTTTTGTTTTCTTAAGATTGCAGCAAAAATTGGGGGTGATGCTGGTACATCATTGAATTCAAATGACTATGGTTATGGGGGACAAAAAAGGCCTTTAGAAGACGGAGGTAAGTTAACCAATAAGTAATTTTCATTGTTACATAGTGTTTAGGTGAAGTGATTCCAGTATTTTTATTTTACGGAAACATTTTTATTACAAGGTCCCCCAAAATTATAAGGTTTGTAGTAGCCTTGAAAGAAAAAGAGAAGAGGGAGACTTAGATAAGGTAAGTAAGTTTTGTCTTAGTAGAAAACAGCTTATTTTCCCTCCTTTAGGATGGTGCCGTGTTTGACAAGTTTGCACAGACTTCTTGTTAATCATACAGAAAACAAAACAAAAAATACATTTGCTGAGGAAACAATTTGTTGGTTTTTCTCTAATGAACAAAATTTTTGTGTACTATGTTTTCATTATGTTACTATTTTAGATTTTACTTTAAAGATTACAGTTTGAACCCTAGTGTATTTTGTTGCTGATTATAGCACTTTTATGTTTTATTTTAGTACGTTGTGTTTCAGGTTTATCTTAAAACGTGGATTAAGACAGTGCTTTGTATTTTTAAAAATGTCGAAGTATCTGAACTTAGAAATGTGCACATTTTTTGTGTAAGGTTTGATATATGAATTTTGATACCTTTTTGCCCCTTTTTTTAAAAAAAGGATTGTGACCAAGCCTGTAGAATGTATTTGTAGCTTTTTATCCAGGAGTACTTGGTTTCCTTTTATTTAAATGTCTTTCATATTTACAGTGAGGCCTTTAATATACAAAAAAAAAAATGAGCTAATGATGCTTCAGATGTTGTGTGTAATGTATTCTTTTTATTTTATGTGTAGATGGCTCTTGGACAAGTCCGAGCAGTACAACACACTGGGAGGGAATGCCCTCTCCTTTTAAAGGCAGGAATTTTTATTTATTACCTGTGTTCAATATGTAAACGTGAAATAAACCATTGGATTCTTACGGACACATATATCTCTTGGATGTGTGTCTAAATTTTTGCACAACAATCATTAAAGTTTGAAGGGGGGAGAATTTAGCACTTCAGTTCTAGGTTGTCTGTTCTAAGCTCTGCATTGTATTCATCTGTGTAATGGATTAAGATGAAGGTAGTCATGTAGTTGCTTTGAGTGTTTTCTGCTAAAGTTTTATACAGTGAGATATTTTATGTAGGAATAAAGGCAGTGTATGAGAGTATCTTATAATGTGATTTTTATTTTTGTGTAGCTTTGTGGTCATGGTCAGTTACACGCAGCTTTTTACATATCAGATTTTTACGTATTGATAGACACCTCACCCCATAAGTCTTTGGTTCCATAATGGAAGCATCATTAGCCTTTTGTCTGTGACATTTTGCTAGTAATGGAGCTAATAGTTTGGCTTGTATCATTCTAAAATGATTAATGTTCATTAAGGTCAGTGATTTGATACAAAAAGAATATCTTCAAAGTGTCGTGCTTCTTTTAAATAGGAACAGAAGGAAAAATGTAGTTTTTCCTTTAGATTATCGGTCAAGGTTGAAAGTTTTGGCAATTTTGATTCAAATGATAAACTATTTTGTCAGATATTTTAATATGCTTATGTTGATATTCTTGCTTGAGTGGGGGAAACTTTGTATGCTTATTGGCAGAAACATTAAAGGAATCTTAATTTTGCAGATCAACCGGATGCTAAAAAAGTTGCTCCTCAAAATGACTGTAAGTATTTTAAGCTATGTTAAAAGTGAAGTAATATTAATGTTGAGGTTTTCTTCCTATTTTGATTTTTGAGATAGTAGCCCAGACTCTCTGTGTATAGAACTTACAACAGTCTCCTTCCTCTGCTGACCATGTGCTGGGATTATAGGCGTGTACTACCTACCATACCTTCCTGAATTTCTTTGTAAATGTGTACCTTTCTCTTCTTTTTTTAAAAAAGAAAATCTTTACCTTTAGTTATGGCTGGGTATATGTAAAGATGGAGTGCTGAGTTATATATACTCATTTTATTTATTCTAGTTCTAAATTGTGCTTCTCCCACTTAGAAAAGTGTCTTGTGCTGTGCTATTACTGAGGTATTTGCTCTCTCAGTAGCTCCCTTACTATTCTCAGTAATGATTTCAATAGTTTTATGTAAAATTATAATCTCTCTTTTTTTTTTTTTTTTTTTTTTTTTTTTTTTTGTCTTTTTCATTTTTATCGGTACCAGGGATTGAACTCACGACCACCTGCTTACAAGGCAGGTGCTTATGCCGCTGAGCTAAATCCCCAGCCCCTAAAATTGTAATCTCTTAATAATGTTGGCTATGCATCAGGGAAATTTTAGAATGCTTGGTGTGATTGTGTTATTAAACGTATAAGTAAACCTAAATTTTTCGCTTTTATTTTAATTTTTGATAGCTTTTGGATCACAGTTACCACCGATGCACCAGCAGCAAAGGTATAGTCAAAAGCTCTTTTCAGAAGTACTTTCCAAGACTTATTTGAGGTGTACGTATACATACAGCCAACTTAGTGTAAGTGAGATACATTTATAATTTGGAAACATGGATGAAATTAGCCATGTTTAGAAGAACTAGGATCAGGTAGAATTAACCGTTAAGATGGCATTCCATAAACACTGCTTTGCAGCTTAGGCCATGAGTCTGTTTGCTGCGCTATTTGTCTTCCCTTGACATGTGTTGCCTTATTTAAAGTTCATAATTTAACTCCTTAACTAATAAAGCCATATTTTGGCCATGGATATGTGCCTTCTACCTTAGATTAAGCTAGGTGACATTGGACTTCCATTTCTTAGGTTATATACAAATTAACTTCATTAGAAGGAAAACGTTAGTTTCTGTTATTTCTTAGCAGATCTGTGATGACAGAAGAATACAAAGTTCCAGATGGAATGGTTGGCTTTAGTAAGTAACTTTTTTTGAAAGTTTTGAAAATGTAATCAAAGTAATAATTCATAATCTTTCAGCAAATGTTTTTGTTTTTGTTTTGTTCGACTAGTAATTGGCAGAGGAGGTGAACAGATCTCTCGTATTCAACAGGAATCTGGATGCAAAATACAGATAGCTCCTGGTAACTTTATTATCTTGATATTTTCAAAGTGAATAGAATTCACTTTGATGAATGCATATTCATGAACTGCAAATGATCGTGATGCTAATTGTTAAATTTTCTTCCTTTTTTTTGTAGACAGTGGTGGCCTTCCAGAAAGGTCTTGTATGTTAACTGGAACACCTGAATCTGTCCAGTAAGTATGAAAATCTTAAAAATTTACTTAGTAGTAATAGGGCTGGGAATTTAGCTCAGCGGTGTAAGTGCCTGCCTGGCAAGTGAGAGATCGTGAGTTGGATCTCTGGTACTAAAAAAAAAAAAAAGTTTACTTAGTAGTAATAATGTGAATACTCTGAACTTCATTTTTTATTAATGTTTCCATATCATTGTGCTCTTATCCCCATGACTGAAAAATTTTCAGCGTTTCAATGTTTATGCCTTCGTCTGAACTATGAAATATAAATTATCATCTTCCAGTTTCTAAATCTTTAACATTTGACCATTTCTTTCTTTATTTACCTAAAACATAGAAGCAAAACATAAGAAACTGTTCTACCTTCTTCACCACTAAAACATTGTTTCATTTATTCTCTTTACTCATGAAACTTAGATATATTGATTTCCTGTGTTTGTGTGCCTAAAGGCAGCCCTTCTACTCCAGTAGGACATTCCTGCAATTAATTTTTCTATTGTATTCTAATTTTTCCTTCTTCTATAGGTAACTTCTAGTAGTATATAGGAATGTTTGATAATCTCTCCATCATATCAAACCATCTTTGAATCTCACATTCTACTTACATATCTAACAAAATGTCTTTTAAAAGTGGCTGTACTTGCCACATGATCTCACTTTCTCTTGAACTCATTCCAGTCAGGCTTTTATTCTGATCAGTCCATAAAAATTTCTTGTTTTCAAGGTTGCAGACACTTTTTCTCTTGTGCATTATTTATCCATAAACAGTTCTTAACCATTTTTCTTCTACAGTTTCCTCAAAATCTATTCCTAGTCTTGCCACTTTCTATATTAAATTTATAGCATTTGTCTGTTTTATTGTACTGTGTCTTCATTCTTTTTTACACTTGTCTCAATATAGTTCCTTCTTCCTATAATGTGACAAACATATGTGTTAAAACATAAATCAGTTCTTACCACCTTGTTATTTTAAATCCCCCAGTATGTGTCAAGTTAGTTTTTAGCACCGTTTTCTCAGCTCACAATGCTCTTCCCCCATTTGGTCTGTCTTGTGTTTTCAGCATACCCTGCATGCTCCTCCTTTAAGTACTTTGCGTGTGCTTTTTTTTTTTTTCCACTGCAATGTCCGTCCCGTCCCTCCCCCCCCCCCATACCTTGAGTCACTTCCTTCTGTTCCTAGCTCACATGGTTTTCACTAAAGCCTGTTAAATCTATGGCGTTTTTTTCACTTGCTCATACATACATCGTCTTAGCTTTTTCTTTATAACATTTGTTACAGCATGTCATTTTTACTTACTTGATGCATTTAGGCTTACTATGAGTGAGAAAAGTGGTAGCTTAAAAACAGGAACAGGGCCTGCAGGTGTAGCTCAGTGAAGAGAACATGTTTCGCTTGCTTGAGGCGTTGGGTTGAGACCCCAGCATCAAAGAAAAATAAACAAATCATTCACTTATTGGTGGAATCAACTTTACTGTGAAATAAAAATTAAGAGTATTCCTTCTTAGAAAAGTTTAGGCTTTTGTTAAAGAAAAAAAAACTATGCCAGGTGTGATGGCACACACTTGTTCCTGCACTCGGGAGGCTGAGGCAGGAGGGTTACCATGGGTTCAAGGCCAGCCTGCACCACATAATGAGATCCTGTCTCCAAAAAATATTGTATGCCTAGAAAATGTATTGCGTAATATTTTTCTGTTTAAGCTTAGATATGTTAAACTTTATTATTTGAATATTGTTAAAAGGTCAGCAAAACGGCTACTGGACCAGATTGTTGAAAAGGGCAGACCAGCCCCTGGCTTTCATCACGGTGATGGACCTGGAAATGCAGTTCAAGAAATCATGATTCCAGCTAGCAAGGCAGGATTGGTTATTGGAAAGGGGGGAGAGACTATTAAACAACTGCAGGTATTATGCTATATAGTAATTTTAAATTATTTTTAAGCCAGTTTTCCTGTTTTCTTTTTAATACGTGGCTTTTATAATTTTAACAGGAACGGGCCGGAGTTAAAATGGTTATGATTCAAGATGGGCCTCAGAACACTGGTGCTGACAAACCTCTTAGGATTACAGGCGACCCATACAAAGTTCAAGTAAACTTCACTTTATCCTTCATAAAAGGGTTGGATGTGTTTGGGAAGTCATGCATGGGTAATTACAGAAGTTTTGAGGCATGCTTTCTAAATTGACTTTTTCTACTTCAGCAAGCCAAGGAAATGGTGTTAGAGTTAATTCGTGATCAAGGTGGTTTCAGAGAAGTTCGAAATGAGTATGGGTCAAGAATAGGAGGCAATGAAGGGATAGATGTAAGTAAAAACCCCAACCAGATGACTATGTGCGAATCAGTAAAATGTGATCATGTTACTCCTTTTTGGAAGGAGAGAGCCTTAACTTTTTTTTCTTTCTGTTTTGGAAAACTTTGTGTCATGTTTTTCTGTTTGAATAAAGAGCATTGTAGATACTTATAAGATGTGATAATTAATTTTTGGAACAAAGCTTTTTTAACATTTAGTCTTATTTGTATAAGGTCCCCATTCCAAGATTTGCTGTTGGCATTGTAATAGGAAGAAATGGAGAGATGATTAAAAAAATACAAAATGATGCTGGTGTTCGAATTCAGTTTAAGCCAGGTCAGTGCATACATTTAATCTTGTAAGCATTTCATAGAGGTAGACTTACTGTTTAAGTTAATTCAGTTTGTTTCTTTGTTTTAAAGATGATGGTACAACACCTGATAGAATAGCTCAAATAACTGGACCTCCAGATCGATGTCAGCATGCTGCAGAAATTATCACAGACCTTCTTCGAAGTGTTCAGGTTTGATACAACACTTCCCTCCATTTGAAAAGTGTTTTCCTTTAAGTCCAAAAGTGCCTTCTTACATTTTTACATTAGTCTGTCAAATGTTGTTATTAGTCAGTAGAAAGGTAGACAGAACATTAAGAATTGCTATGTATCTGCCCTATCCAGATTGACTGTGGCTTTTTTTTTTTTTTAATGTTTCACTGAGCATGGTGGCACAGGCCTGTAATTCTGGCACTTTGGAGACTGAGGTAGGAGGATCACTGAGTTTGAGGCTGGCTGCATTGTGAAGCCTAGTCTCAAAAAGAAATGGATATTATTTGCTCATTGTTTTCATCAACTATTCTCTGAAGTTTTCTCTAAATTTCTAATTTAAGATTATGAAAAGTTGAGAAAAATGCTGTATTTATTTATTTTTGAAGCAATGTATTGCTACAGAATAGTTTGGGCTGGTATTGAACTCACTGTATAGCCCACACCTACCTCAAAGTTGAGCAGTGATTCTCCTGCTTCAACCTCCCAAGAGTAGATAGACGTTAATTTTATAATGGAAAAAAAGTGTTTATTTCTATGCCAATTTATCTGTTCCCTCCTTAGGCTGGTAATCCTGGTGGACCTGGACCTGGTGGTCGAGGAAGAGGTAGAGGTCAAGGCAACTGGAACATGGGACCACCGGGTGGACTACAGGAGTTTAATTTCATTGTACCAACTGGGAAGACTGGATTAATAATAGGAAAAGGCAATGTATTTTAAACTTTTTTGTGGGAAAGTGTTTTGTTTTAAGACAGGATCTTGCCTCGAACTCACTGTGTAGCCCAGGGTGGTCTAGAACTTGCAACAGTCCTGCCTCTGTTTTCTGACTGCTGGGATGACAAGTGTGCAGCACCACACCTGACTTGTATTTTAAGCTGTTAATGTTGTACATACTAAATTTTTCTGGACACTGTTTCTGTTGGTGTTATAAAGAAGTGATAGTGAGTAGGTAAGAGAAAGCTCTTAAATATCTGATACATAAAAACTAAAATCAAGTCGAAGAGTGAGATTTGAATATCATTGGATCCTTGAGAAAGGGAAACAGGAATTAATAGTCACAAGAAGTTTTCAACTTAAAAAAATGTAAGTTTCTTTGATATGTGTCTCTTTTGTAGGTGTGTATTAATGAGGATTGAACTCAGGATCTTTGTATTATTAAACTATTAGGTCTAGCTATTAAACTATTTTGAGACAGGTTCTTACTTGGTCACTAGTTTGCCCAGGCTGGGCTCTAACTTGTGCTTCTCCAGGTTCAGCTTCCTGAGTGCTGGGGTTATAGGTGTGTGACCCTGCAGCTGAACTGTTGATTTGCTTTTTCCTAAATCACATCTGAAATTTTTGCATGTTTATCATTCATTTTTTTATATTGCTTGTAAAAAGAATTTTAAGTATTTTGGTAAGTTGTCCATATTGAGCTGTGTATAATATTAAGTAATCTTTAATGTATCTTAAAAGAAATATGACCTGCTTTGTGTAATTTGGTTTGAATATTCAAAATTGTAATTAGAATATTATCAGAATGCTGGCCAAGAAAAAAATTTTTTTTTGGTTTGGTTCCAAGGATCAAACCTCAAGTTTGCCAAGCAGGCATTTAACACATCGCTGAGCTAAACCTGGCCTCCAAAAAAATTATTTTTAATGACTGATTTATTATGACCATTTTCTTTTGAACAGTACCTCTTAACATCATTTGAACTTTTGAAGAAATGACTATCTCGATTCCTGCCCCCCCCCCATTCAGGAGGTGAGACCATAAAAAGCATAAGCCAACAATCTGGTGCCAGAATAGAGCTTCAGAGAAATCCTCCACCTAATGCAGATCCTAACATGAAGTTATTTACAATTCGTGGCACTCCCCAGCAAATAGACTATGCTCGGCAACTCATAGAAGAAAAGATTGGTGTGAGTAGGCTTTAAATATCTTAATTTATAACAGGCCCTCTTAAGGTTATAGCTCAGATACACCATAGACATTTCTAGTCAGAAGTTATAGATTTTAGACATAATAAATAAGTACATCACTGGAAAGATGTCTAGCAATAAAAATAACCTGATGAAATAGGGAGTTAGAGATGTTGAGAACTAACTTATATTTGGGTGTGAGAGATGGTTTCATTGGCTGCAGATATGTTAGGGTTAAGTAGAGGATTGTGGAAGATAGTTGAAAGAATTAAAAATCAGTGTATTTTCAGATCTTAATTGTACTCATCCCTGTTCAGATAAAAAATAAAGATCAAACACATTCCCCATTCTACAGTAGAAATTCATAAATTCTTTTTGGACAGGCTCAGGATTTTAAAATACAGATTAGATGTTTCCTATCCCTTCAAGTGGTATGCATAAGCATTTCTGATTCAGAGCACCTGAAGTGGAGCCTAGCATCTAATTTTATAAATATGAATCAGGTGATTCTTATGCAGTCAGTTTTGGAACATTTTCTTTATGGTAAGACAGAATAGTCTATAAAGCCTTGACCATGCTTATTTATAAATGAGGCAAATTGTGTTTTCCTGGTAGATATACCATGAAAAATTAACACAGGCCGTAAGGGAATGAACATTTTAAATTACTAATAATAAGTAGAGAAGTTTTTGAGTTTTTTTCATGTTTCCCACGTACAAGTGGATGCAAAATAAGTTTTAGGAGTCTGTCTATGTGGAAAGACAAAAATACTTAAGTTCGTGTTATTGCCAAGTATAATTGTTCAAAAAACATAAACTCAGTAATTCCAGAGGATAGTAGCCAAAGCAGAAAAAGGAATAAATAGAACATTATAGTTTCTTATTAGCCTAGGAGGGATGGAGAAGAGTTTTTGTTGGATACATGGAGAAACAGCAAGTTGTTTTAGAGAATTATTTGGACCATAAACTAATCTGTTTATCTATTATACAGCAAATACATGCATTGAAACAACACGGTCCTCCATTTATATTACCATTTTTATGTCTTTTTGTTCCAGTTAGCATTTTTTCTTAATTAGAACCCTTGTTCTTAATCTGGCTGTGGGTCATTCTGACTGTGTGGCCTTGGAGAAGTTATTTTCTTCTGTGCACAGTTTTCTCCTATAAAGTGAAGAAAACTGCTTTATAGAGTTGAGATTAAATGAATGTTGTTTACATGTGTATTCCACTTTTAAAAAATAGAAAATGTTTCTATTCTTTACCTGTATGAAAAGAATGTGTTATGAGTAGTAAAAAGTGAGAGATGACAGCAATTAAAAATTTAACAAAACCAGTTAATAAAAGGAGTCTGAAAGGTGTTGAAGCTTAGCTTCCTTATTTTATAGTGAGAAAGTTGACAAATAGTTTTTATTCATTTTGTCCAGAATGTCTCAATGGTCTTTGCAGGTTGTTTTACCAAAAGAGTCCGCTAAATGTTAATGATAATGAAACATCATAAGAATACAAAATGTCCTGTTAATATATCAGTCATAAAAAGTTTTTGTGTTGCTTAGAAAACTATGATAGGGGGCTGGGATTTAGCTCAGCTTCATAAGCTAATTTTAGAGAATTATTTGGACCATAAACATATGGTCCAAATATTGGTTTTTATTGATTTAATATTAATCAAAATATTTAATATTGATTTCTCCCCTGCAGTGGTCCTCCAGCCCCATATGCTTATGTTTATGTCTTGCAAGCAGGCAGTCGTGAGTTCGATTCCTGGTACCGATAAAAAGGGAAAAGAAAAAAAAATATGATAAAAAGAATAGTAATTTAAATTGTTGATCTAAATGGAGTTCCAGAGAAAGATATAGAAAGCTTGTGAGGCAGACTGTAGTGTGTGAGAGAACTAATTGTTACATTACAGATGAAGTATCATCTAGACAGTTTACAGTGTAGGGGAAATCTCTTCAAAATGGTTTTCTGTCTGTAAGAGACATAGTGGATGAAGAGAGAGGAGCTAGTGAACAGGACCTTGATTGCCTGATAAGCTCCCATGATTAAGGTGATAAAGAAATGCTAAACATAAAAATTTTAAAATTTATAAAGAGAAATGTACTACTGTCAGAATAAAACAGAAACTAAAATATATCAATTTTTGTTTCAATTGTTTAATTTTACATGTCTTAATTTGTTTCATATGAATGAGAAAAATCTAAACTTCATTACTTAATGACTGTAAGAGGATAAAATGGCCTTTGAATTATTTGAACAAGACTTTTTGTGATTTTTATGTGTGTGTTATCTTGCTTTTTTGCAGGGTCCAGTAAATCCTTTAGGACCACCTGTACCCCATGGGCCTCATGGTGTCCCAGGCCCTCATGGGCCTCCTGGGCCTCCAGGGCCTGGAGCTCCAATGGGACCATACAATCCTGCGCCTTATAATCCAGGACCACCTGGCCCAGCTCCTCAGTAAGTTCTAGGTTTTGGTTTCTGGAGTTTTCAGCAAAGATGCTACCTAGCTTGAGGTAAATAATCTTCTTTAATATTGATTTCTCCCCTGCAGTGGTCCTCCAGCCCCATATGCTCCCCAGGGCTGGGGAAATGCGTATCCACACTGGCAGCAGCAGGCTCCTCCTGATCCAGGTAAAGCAATTTAACATTCATGTGTTCTATTTATCTGCCACTGCTTTACATTCTTAAATTTCTTCTTGTTGAGTCTACGTTTTTTGGTACATTATCTATATTACTTACTCTTTCAATGGTTTTGGGCACTGCTTCCATACTGTTACGTAGACGTGAACTTTGCTTTTACAAAAGTGTTTTCTAGTTTTCTGTACTTTAAAATTGATACAGCAAAGAGCCAAAAGCTACAAAAGTACAGTGTCTCAGGTTTTAGGTACCAGTGCTTGCAAATGAATAACATGTTAATGGTGACATTATCCATGGAAGAATAGTTTATTTATAAAATGTCTTAAATGTCATAACAGTGTCAAATACTTGGGATTTAATTCCTCTAAGTTTTTGAGTAAGATATAAACTGTCCATTCTAGTACTCTTAATTTAAAAAAACTTCATGCATTAAATTAGTTCATATGTAATAATTGCATGCTGGAACTCTATATGTTATTATTTTCTGTATTGAAATTGGAATTTTAATATATAAAATAACATTTTGCTGTCTTCTCAGACCCTGTAGTTGTTTTCCCTGTCTTTGTTAAAAAGGCATTCTTTGAAACCAGCTGACTTATAAGTGATTCCTCATTCTACCTGTCTACCTTTTGAGTCCTCTTTCCCTGGAGTCATTCAAAGAGGCTATTCTGAGTTATGGAGTACTGTCTTCATATAGTTTTTTAAAGACTAATCAAAGTAATTGATTTACATGAAATTGGTTTTGTTGAATTTGGTTAAAAATATGGTCTTATTTTTAAAGTAATTCACTTTCATAGAAAGTGTGCTCTGTGTGATGACCAAGAGGACTGTCACCAGATAATCAGTGTCCATTCATTAAAGAAACAGCATAAATTCTATTAACACCTGGGTATGCATTTATGAGTTCATATTTCATAGCAAAGGAATGCATTTCCAGTGTAAGTGGTACTGTGACAGTGGCGTATAGGGTACAGAAGCATCAAATACTTTGTAACAGTTTAAAAGTCTATTTGAAGGATGAAAAGGCTTTGTTTCTCTCTTATAAGTTAATTGGAGTGGCATGTTTGAACAGTGGAATGTGAGGGCAGCTTTAAATTAGTTCATGTGTAATAACTGCATGCTGAAACTCTAAAATATGTTTAATTATTTTCTGAATTGAAATTGGAATTGTGAGAATTTGTATTGGGTAACTGAGATGCCCCTGGATTGTAAGTATGAGCAGTGCTGGGTTACTAAGTCTCTGGGATCTGTCTGTGAAAAAATTATGTTCAGTTTAGACAGTGGTTGAAAATTTAGGCCTTAAACAGACCTAGATTACTCCCAGTCCTATAATTCAATGAAGAAAGGTCAAGGAAGTTTTTAAGTCCTTCTGGGCCTATTTCCTCTATAATTGGTAATAAGTGAATGGATACTGTGTGGAGTAAAAAGTTCTCTGTACATACATACTGTATATAACTAATTTCTTGTACCGTTTAAGACATGAAGAGTATAAGTATTGCTTCCTAAAGTTCTAGTTGCCAGTTACAGTGACTAGCATCTGTAATCCCAGATTGCCAGTTTCTATCTTTTTTTTTTTTTTTTGTCTTTTTCCTTTTCATTGGTACCAGGGATCGAACTCACAACTACCTGCTTGCAAGGCAGGCACTTATGCCACTGAGCTAAATCCCCAGCCCCAGATTGCCTGTTTCTTGTAGGTACAAAGCCAACCTGGGCAATTTAGTGAGTGTCTCAAAATTAAATAACAAAATGGGCTGGAGGAGGACTTCAGTGGTTGCTGGGTTCAATCCCCAGTGCGCAAGGGCCCCTTTTCCAGTCTTGTATCTTAATTTCTCTATACAGATTTATATCCAGTAAATTAATTTGTTTATTAACATACAGATGATACTGCTAATTTTTGTAAATATCCAGCGTAGAAAAGCAGTGTATCAAACAATGGAAAGGTTTGCAGGGTAATTAAGATCACCTTTAATTGTAATTGTGTTTTTCTAGAAATGTTTCTCCCCTCCCCCACTCCCATTTTTTAAACTGTACTAATCTCTAAGCAGATCACATGTACACTCTGGTGCTGAAGAAATTACATTCTTTTGGGGGTATAAATTAATAAAGATAATGCTTTTATTACTGTTTAACATTTCTATTATAAAGGACAATCAATAATAAAACACTTTCTGATCAAGAAGTCTCAGACTGACAACCAGTTGATTTCTGAGGGCTGAATGAAGATGTGCCAAGTGCAGAGGAACCTGAACATGACCAAAGGCCCAGCCTTAGACTTCTGGAAAGTGCAAGCAGTTTGTTGAGACTGAAATTTAAGTAATGGGAAGATACTGACAGGAGGGAGAGATGAGGCTGGACTAGAAAAGATAAAGCCAGGAGGCCCAGGTCATTAAAGATACTGAATGATAATGCTGCACTTAAGGTTTGACCATCTTGAAGTCTACAAAATAAATGCATTTCAAGTGTGGTGGTGACATTAAGACTAGAACAACTAAAATGAAGGATGACTAACTTGTAATAGAATGAGATACAGCTGATACTTGTTTCTTTTTCTACTATTTCTAGACTCTTAAAGACAGGACAGAATTCGTAGTTCTGAAATTATTTCTTGCACAGATTAGTCCCTTTAAGTCACATTAAAGAAAATAGTGCCCTGGAATGGTTTCAGTCAAAGTACTAGATTGCGAGCCAAAAGACCTTCCGTTCTCTCCTACTTCTGCTCACTAGTTTGGTTACCTAGGAAAGTCCCTGCCTGGAACTCAGTTTTCTATATTAATAAAAGCCATTCATAACAAATTGTTAGAAAAATTTAAAGTTTTCATTTACTGTTTATTGTTTAATGACTGATTTCTGGTTCTTTATGTTTGCCAGAAAGGGGTGTGTGTGTGTGTGTGTGTGACATTATAGGCTTCAGATGCAAGCATTGATTTGTGTTTATTTTAGCTAAGGCAGGAACAGATCCAAATTCAGCAGCTTGGGCTGCTTATTATGCTCACTATTATCAACAACAAGCACAGCCACCACCTGCAGCTCCTACAGGCGCACCAACTGCAACCCAAACGAATGGACAAGGTAACTATGGTAACTGAAATTTTTATTTTTTATTCAAAAACCTGAGTTTGGGTTTAGGATTATATAGAAAGGACATCACTGTATAATGCCTAAAATTTCTGACAGTAACAAATTTTAGTAACCACCCTTTTGTAAATAAAACACTGAAATGATTTTCTAACTTTGTAGAAGTTGTAAGAATAGGGCTTGGGATTTAGCTTAATAGCAGAGTACTAGAATGCTGGAGGCCCTGGTTTGATCCCCAATATGCAGTTAAAAAATAATAAATTGTAAAAAAAATCAATCAATAAATAGACAAATGGTGATAATATTACCAGGAAGATCCAGTTGGTCTGACTGTTAATGTTTTACCCCCGCTCACACTAACACCCAGTCATACATATGTCCATACCATTATCATTACTTCCAAAGCTAAACTGTAGGCATAGTGCCATACTACCCTTAAATATGCTTTTGTATTTTTGCAAAAAATTACGTCTTGTATAGCTGTGCACATGTGTTCATCAACACTGCTGTATCTTTACTGTCCTTGTACACAACTTTGAATTCACCAGTGATCAAAGTACTCTTTCCCTTGATTCAGGATCCCATTTGGTGTACCATATTTAGTTGTCAGGTTGTTTATATCAGTTTATTCCAATCTGGAATGTGCTTTATAACATATCAGTACTATAAAGCACATAGATCTTTTGTTAGATTATCAACCTAGGACTCTTCAACCTTTTCTTTGAGACAGGGTCTCACATTGTTGCCTAGACTTTTTTCAAACTAGTGATCTTGGCCTCAAGTGATCTTTCTGCCTCAGTCTCCCTGGTAGCTGGGATTACAGGTTTGCATCACTGTGGTTGGCCTGTTTAATGTTTTTTTAAGATCATGCAGTAGTGCTTACTTGGCAGGAAAAACTCGGAAATGATGATATGCTCTTAGTGTATACATCAGCTGTTAAAAAATGTTTAACTATTCCACCCCTGTAAATAGTAACCTTGATGACTTCATTATATTGGTTCTCCTAGGTTGGTTTGGTTTTGTTTTGTTTTTGTTTTTTTGTCTTTTTCCTTTTTATCGGTACCAGGGATCAAACTCACGACTAGGCGCTTGCAAGGCAGGCGCTTATGCCACTGAGCTAAATCTCCAGCCCCTGTTCTCCTAGGTTTTTTTGTCTTTTTCATTTTTATTGGTACCAGGGATTGAACTCACGACTGGCTGCTTGCAAGGCAGGTGCTTATGCCGCTGAGCTAAATCCCCAGCCCCAAAAGGTACTGTTTTGTTTTTTGTTTTGTTTGTTTGTTTGTTTTTGTTTTTTGTCTTTTTCCTTTTTATCGGTACCGGGGATCCAACTCACAACTGTCTGCTTACAAGGCAGGCGCTTACTAGGTTTTTATACTATACATATATCACCATTTTTCTCTGAAAGTAGTGTTTTCTGGAACATTAAGACTGAGCTAATAGTACTATCCTGTTCTTCATCCAGCTTTTGTACCTGTCAGATTTAGCCTTCATTAATATAACTCCTGCCTCATTAAACCACAGTTGTAATAATTCACTATTGCCCTCATGTACATTTATTAGTAGATATTTTATAGAAGGGAAAGCTTTCCTTTTCATCCTATTTAGTTCTTTATATCAGTATGAAGTCCTGTGGGGTTTTTTTTATTTTGTTTTTGTTTTTGTTTTGTTTTTTATTATTTTAATAATCAGATTGTTCTAGATTTGACCAGTTGAGAATGTCTTGAATGTGACTCCTGTATCCTTTTGAAATGCCTGTTATTCTTTAAGCAATTCCTTATTGTCTGACACATTAAGAACTTTCAGATGTCATTTTTTTTGGTACCAGGGATCGAACTCACGACTGTGTGCTTAAGGCAGGCGCTTATGCCACTGAGCTAAATCCCCAGCCTCTGTTGTTACTTTTTTTTGTTTGTTTTACTGTGTTGTTATTTGTGGTACTGGGAATTGAACCTAGGGCCTTTATGCTGAGCTGCATTCCCAGCCTGGTGTGTTTTTGTTTTTGAGGCAGTATCCCTCCAGGTCACCAAGTAACCCTGACTGAACTTGAACCTGCAGTCCTCCTGGATCAGGCTCCCAGAATCCTACAGCCACGTGCCTGGCTCTTGACTTAACTTTTAATGAGGATAGTTTTTTAAAAAACCAAATTAAATATGTTCATCACAGCTGCAATGCAATAGTTTGCAACTCTTAATTTATTGATACATACTACTACGTGAATACTCACACACATAAAAACATTTCAATGCCCACATCTGTATGGAAATATATATAATTTATGTATATTTTAAAATCGTATGTTCATGCAATTCCATTCTAGCACTTAAAGTTCTTTGTGATGGGAATTTGGCTCAGTGATAAAGTGCTTGCCTAGCATGCACATTGCACCACAAAAGGATACTTAAAAAATAGAAAAATAAATTCACTTTTTGTTTTTTTACTTATAAGTAGTGAGAGACCTGGTATTTTCATGTGTTTCCTCATTTGACTTTGATTTACACTCATTGTAACCCATGTTCACTTTTCATGGCTTCTGTACCCCTACTGCCTATCTTGTGTGCCAGCAGGTACATCACTAGCATACAGTGCTTGCCTCCCACTTACGGCTCATGGAAGCCCACTGTGTGTTTCGTAGTCAAGAAGCAGAAGGCCCCATAGTGCCTTAAAAATTTTAATCTTGTTTTGTTTTTCTTAAACAAGGAGATCAACAGAATCCAGCTCCAGCTGGACAGGTTGATTATACCAAGGCTTGGGAAGAATACTACAAGAAAATGGGTATGTTGTATATGTTTTCTGTGTATATGCATATGTGTATGTTTATCCATTTAAAAATAATTGAAGCAGTTAGGAAATAAACATTAAGAGTTTAGAAATTTTGGGCCAGGGATATAACTTAGAGACAGAGCACCTGCCTAGCAAGCTCAAGGTCTGAGTTCAATTCCCAATATCAAAAAACAGCCCAAAAAAGGGTTTAGAGATTTTGATAAAAATATAATTGCACTGTGGTTTTATGATGGTCAGTGACATCAATTTAACTTTTATTTGAGGACAAGTGAATGAGATTTCTTTCTAAAATTAGTAGACTTTCATACATAACCAAGACCATTACAAATAATAATTCTTAAATTTTTGGTTTTATATAACAAAGAAGTACATTCGTCAGTTAATTGAAACTAGAAATTTTCCCCACTGGCCTATATGACAATTCACTGTTTCTGTACTCCTGTACAGGAACAGTTGCTGTATTACTAACCTAAATGGCATATAAGTTTACATTTTAGAACACAACAAAAATTGGTTCTGTGTGGTGGTGGTCTTGGTGCCAAAAAAGAAAGAAGTGATCTACAATTACAGTTAATAAATTCGTTGGTTCTATGTGGTATCATTTTTGCTGCCAGAAAAGTAAGTAATCTACAGTTACAGTTAATAAATTTGAATGTTGTATATGAAAAAGGGAAATCAGTCACCTAGGAGAGCCCTTAGATACCTACCTTGAATAAAAATTAGAACTCAATATACCCACACATTTTGGGCTATGTAAAGTACGACAGCTAAACAAAAAAAAAATGTATTAACATTTATAGAGCACATTGCATGCTTGGCATAGTGGTAGATACTGAGAATGTAATTAGGGCATAACAGCTAGGAATCTTGCCCTGCTGGAGGTTACAGTTGTTAAGCAGTTTGCAGGTATGTTACTATAGATTCCTGTGTGGAAAGAGCTACATATTCACTTACAGTTCACTCGTGGATTGAAAAATGGGTCGCATAACTACCAAGTGGTAGAACCAGAATTTTACCTTTCAGTCTTGAGTCCCAAGCCTATCTTCCAAATTTATATTCTCAAAGGACTATATGTAACTTGATATTCTGAGCAGATACTTACCTGGCATAGAAAAAGGTAGAATTTTGTTGTAAGATAGTCAACTTGAGATTCTAAGTGTAAATTTTACTGGGATTTTTTTTTTCTCTGAGGAATGTTTCTCAGTTTGAACTAAAAGAAAAGTTTGCAGAAGGATGATAATTTTTTTTTGTATATGTGTATAAATATCTTTTGTGATAAAAAAATTTCTACGAAGTTGATTTTTTTTTTTCCCCCGAGGTGCATGAATCCAAAAAGTTGATTTCTATTTAAAGAAAAAAGTCTTATTAGAATGGCATTCTTGGGGGCTGGGGATTTAGCTCAGTGGCATAAGTACCTGCCTTGCAAGCAGGCAGTCGTGAGTTTGATCCCCTGTACCGGTAAAAACAAAAAAGACAAAAAAAAAAAAAAAAAAAAGAATGGCATTCTTGAAAAGTCATGCACTATTTTATTCCTAATAAAACAGAATAATCATTCCTTTTATAACCTAGTTTTTCTCAGGCTTACCTATAGTGGCTATTTTTCTAAAATGTTTTAACTTTAATCTCAAAATAGTATTTTTAGGGAGAAAAAAAAATCTTTTATGGCAAATAAAAATACCTGTCCTGGGAGGTAAAAATACAATATACTTAGGCTATTTGTAATTCACTGTCTGGACTGTGATGCTTTTGAACAAGGATGCTATCAAAAATGATAACCCTTGCCAGGGATTTAGCTCAACAGCACAAGCGTCTACCTGGTAAGTGCAAGGTTGTGAGTTCAATCCCTGGTACCAAAAAAAACCCCACCCATTCCCCCAAAGCCATAGCTTTGCAACACAGTGGTCAGAACCTGCAGCTACCTGAATGTTAACAATAGCATGACCATTTTTAGAATTGTATTGAAGTTAAAATTCATTAACTCCAACTTGTATTTTCACAATATGTAATATATGCCAAATATGTTTCTATATTGTTAATAAATGGGTAAAAACAGAGACTTACTGATTAACTCAGGTAATTATTGTGGCATTACTCAATAATTTGGCTTTTATGTCTTATTGAAGCCTTCTATTCCTTTACACCATGACTTAATTTTTTGGTTAGCTCTTTCACATTTTCTATGGCCCAAAATGAGTGGGCTTGTTAAGTTTTAATTTTTATCCAAGGTAAATATTTTCACTTGCCTTTTTCTTTGCAGCTATTTTCCGTGCCAGCTACTCTCTAAAAGTACTTGCTTAATGTCTTGTTAGATCCTTTTTGGAAAACATAGTATGGAAATAAGTATGTTTAACTGAAGATTGTCCTCCACTGTCTGTCCTGCTCTGTATGTCCATAGAACCACAGTGATCCGTCTGTTAGTTTTATGAGCAAAGTGGACTGACTGGACAATTTTCTCTTATGTATAAATCTTACAGAGGGTAATGTACTTAGCGTTTGGTGAACAATTTTTCATAGCGTGATAGCTACACAATTTTTTTTCCTATAAAAGTTGTGTACTGTGATTTGCTTAACTAATGTAATTCCTTCCTAGGTATGTTATTTGTCTCTTTTTTGGATACTACAAAAAAGAAACCTTAAAATATAAAAATAATACAGTTCATTTTTCAGGTGTCTTAAATGGAAGGATAAATAGGAGTAATAAAATTAAGGAGATTAAGGATCTTTATTTCCAAAGCCATTTCTTAATTGTCCATTCATTGTGGGCATTATCTACTTTTTACACACAGCTTACCAGTGTATGTAAAGTTTCACTGTCAGAGCTTTTGTATCTTAATATCAGTTTTTCCTATTAATAACAGAAAATTCCATTAGTAGGCTATAGATTTGCACTTGTTTAAGCCTCTATTGAATTAATTCTTCATTTTCTAGGTTTGGTTTGGTTTGATCTGGTCTGGTCTGGTCTTTCATGAGACAGGGTCTCACTACTATGTAGTCCAGATTCCAGGCTGGCCTTGAACTCACCACATACCCAAGTCAAACTTGTGATTTTCCTGCCTCAGCATCCTGAGTGTTGGGATGACAGGCATTTACCACCATACCCCTCTTACAGATTCTAAATAGTTAAGGAAATTTGAAGCCTTATAAGAAATTACAGCTTTCAGGAAGTAGATGTTAGGACTTTTCCGGTAGAGACCTGCAAGAAAACAAAGTGTCAAAGAGATAGTTCCTATGCCGAGCACGGTAAGTGAAGACATTTTGAGAAAGGTTTGACTTCAGGGAAGTACTCAGCATTGATAAGGACTTGGGGTCCTTGACCTCTGGTAAAGTAGAGAAAAATAAAGGTTTGTAGAAGAGATACAGGTGTGTGGAGAGAATTGAACATAATAATACATTCAAGTCAGTGCAGTTGTAATAGAATGCCTCTAGTGAACTCCAGGGCAGGTCTTTTATCTTTTGGGTGAAATTAAAGTAAAATTGTCCAAATGGTAAGATGTATGTAAATAGTGGATAATTTTCTACTGAAGTGTGGCCTCTATTCTGGCATAAAAACAGTAACTGCCCAGGTATAGGGACACATGCCTTGTAATACCAGCTACTCAGGAGGCCAAAGCAGGAAATCACAGGTTCAGTGCCACCCTGGGAAACTTAGCAAAATTATATTTTGAAATTTTAAAAAGGCCTGGGGTATAGCTCCATACAGAGTCTTAGATTCAACATTTCCTCCACCACACCCCAGGAAAAAGAAAGACGGATCACCAACTAGAGAAGGATGACAGTGAGATCTATAAATGCCTGAGAGGAGCAGGGAGGGAAGAGGTCGAGAGCCGATGTGTGGGTGGACTAGGCAGGTTGGCATCTCTGCTTTCAAGTAGGGAAGTTGAACCACATTAGCAGTTAGAATTGGTAAAGTGAGTGAGTGTGGAAGCATAGGTGATTTTCTCTAATTAGTGCATGTTAGTCATGCAGAATAGTGAGGCTCCTGGTGGGAAAATGATGCTTATACATGCCATTTTGATTATTAACCTCTTCTGCTCTTCACTCACTTTATGTCACATGTAAGAAAAATGTGGTGTTTGGCTGCACCTGAGTTGTTTGACTTAACATGATGGTGTTCAGGTCCATCTATTTTCCTGCAGGTGACATGGTTTCCCTTTTTTGGCCATATTCCTTTTGTAAACGTACACCACATTTTCTCTATCCATTTATCTGTTGACACAATATAAGTTCTTCACACAGCTTAGCTATTGTGATTCATACTGTTGCAAAAATGAGTGTTTAGGTATCACAATAGTATACTGTCTTAAATTTTTTTGAGAATATACTTAGGAATGGTATAGCTGTATTGAGGGGTATTTCTAGCTTTAGATTTGGGGGTTGTTTATTTGTTTGGGAAGTTTGTTGTTGAGTTGGGTTGGTTTGATTTGGTTCAGTTCAGTTTAGTTTTTCAAGACAAGGTCTTGCTGTGTAGTCCCAGTTAGACTCAGGAACTCATGGCAGTCCTCCTGACTGCCTCCCAAGTACCGAGCTTATAGGTGTGCACCGTTCCGCTGTAACCGGCCTGGCTTTAGTTTTTTTAAGTAATCTGCATCCTGATTTCCATAGTGTTTTACTAGTTTACAACCGGCAGTGTAGGAACCCCGCTGGCATGAACAGTATTCATTTTTGTATTCTTGTTGATAACCATTTTGATTAGGGTGAGATGGAATCTCGAGGTAGTTTCTGTAATTTTTAAAATATTTTTTCAGTTGATTTCATTTAATAATATCCAGATTATTTTAAATTCCGTTATACTTCTCTCTTCCTGCCACCTCTTATTTCTTGAAGTCTTACCTTCTGGTTTCCTTAGAATGTCTCTGTTTTCTCATAAGAGAAAATGTAATTTTCTGACTGGCTTATTTCACTTAGCATAATGGTCTTTAGTTCCATCTTTTTTCTGATAAATAACATTTTTTCCTTTTTTATAGCTGAATAATGTTCCTGAAAGTAGTTTTGATTTACATTTCCCTAATGGTTAAAGGTGTTGAATAGTTTTCACACAATCCTTGCCCATTTGTACTTTAGGGGAAACACTTTTATTCAGTTTGTTTGCCTTTGTGGGGAAGTGATTCTTCTATCTAGATCTTTGGTTCATTTTGATGTAATTTTCACACAGGGTGAGAGCAATCTAGTTTCAGTCTTAAACATACAGCCAATTTCCCAGCACCATTTGTTAATATCTTAAGATTGAAATGGCATATATTGGCTACTAATTAACATGTTTTTTCCTTGGAGATACAGTGTTGACTTTGGTTTTCAATGGGCACATTTGAATGTGGGGTGCATGTGTATTTTAGGGAACATTGAGCCTGATGAGTTTTATGTGCCATCCTATCCTTATTTTGCCTCTAAAATAGGTGCATCTTCAAGTGAGGTTCAGTTCCTTCTATTCTTCTCAAAGTGGGGATTGTTCTTTTTTAAGTAGTACGTGCAGTTTGTGAGGACCTCTTTGTGGTCTGTTGCTGTTGCTATTGGGTGTTCTGGTTTTCTACCCATTGGAATTTGTTTTAGATTTGCTTGAATTGTATCTGTCCGTAAGATCAAAATGTTAAACTCCCTTCTATTGAGGATAGTTATTTTTGGAAGAAAAATACAAGAGATTTTTTGGTAGTATATTAATTTTATTTATGGTACCAGGAGCTCAGGATCTTGCATTTGCCAGTCAGGCCACAGCACTGAACTAAGTTCCCAACCTTACTTTATTATATGAAATTTTATTCTATGATGTTCCTATTTTAAAATTTTGAAAGTTGGGCTGGGGATTTAGCTCACCGGCATAAGCACCTGCCTTGCAAGCAGGCAGTCATGAGTTGGATCCCTAGTACTGATAAAATAAATAAATAAATAAGTAAATAAATAAATAAATAAAAATTTTGAAAGTTAACAGTGGTAAGCTGCTTTCTAAAATTATAAAGTTGTCTTGTTGGCAGTAAACAGACATAGCTTCCAGTATGTATATATTCCAGTTTTTTGTGTTTAATTAGGTCATAGAGTCAGGCATTCATGTAAAGCAACTAAATAAAAAGCATTTTTTAAAAGTGTTTTCTGCTCTCTCTCTCTCTCTCTCTTTTTTGATTTAAATATCTCCAAAAATTGGAAGAATAGAGGCTTGGGATTTAGTTTAGTGACACAAATGCTGCCTGACAAGTGCAAGATTGTGAGTCAATCCCCAGCACTAAAAAAAAGGAGGACTAAAAAACCAAACATTCCACTTCACTTTGTGTGTGTGTGTTTATTGTTGAGACGGTTTCACTATGCAGTCTAAGTTGGTCTTTGTAACCCAAGCTAGCCTCAAACTCACAGTAATCCTCCTAACTCAGCCTCTTGAGTGCTGGGATTCATGAATGCGTGCACCATCATCACACCCAGCCACTTAAGCATTTTTTAAAAATTTGCCAGAAGTCTTTATGTGGTACAATGAACCCCACTACAAAGTAAGTTGCAGGCAATTTGCTCTGAGTAACTCAGTAACAACAGAGATGGGTTTAAATATTGGTTCTTGTTAGGGAAATGTCTTACGTAGTTATTTGTATAAAGGTCCATTTGTTTTAATTCAGAGCTCGTGTAGTGTTTCTTCATCATATTTGGTGGTGGTGTCTCTGAATTGTCTCACAATTTAGGAAAATCGCCTTGCCTAAAAAAGGACCTCATGAAAGCTGAGTTGTATTTCATTGTCTTTGTTCATTCTTTATGTCTAGTAGAATGGTGTTATACTTAGAGCTGGGCGTGGTGGCTCACGCCTGTAATCACAGCACTCAGGATGCTGAGGCAGGAGGATCGTTTGGTGTTCGAGACCAGCCTGGGCTACAAAGTGAGCTCAAGGCCAGCCTGAACTGCATAGTGAGACCTTATCTCAAAAAGACAAAAAAAAAAAAAAAAAAAAAAAATGGTGTACCTTAAAACACATTGAGCCTTTACTCAGCACCTTTTGATTTTTGTTTGTTTGCTTGCTTGCTTTTCCCAGAGGTCCAGCTGTGGTTCTCTATTGAGGGCTTGCAATGTAAGACCAGTAGTACATAAAGGGTTTGCTCCCATCTTTACCTTCTGTTCCTCACTGCGGGCCACCACCTGAAAGTTCACAGACTGCTTGAAATACTTTTGAGAGTCATTAGAACAGTAAGGCTTCACCAGTTCTGCAACTGAGTTGCCTCAGTATTTTCTTTAAAGCAGTGGACTTTGCCACAGTTTTCCTTTCGTCAATAGTAATACTCTAGAACTCAAATTATAATCTAATAAGGCAAAAAGAACTTTAAGTTCAGAGTAGTTTTGTAACACAAACGATATTGCGGGTAAACAACAGTTTTGATCCTCTGCTTTTGTCATAGCCTGTACTACTCTGCTCGTGAGCCCATACTTACCAGGCAGGCACTTACACCACTGAGCTAAATCCCCGGCTTTATAGCCTGTACTTTTGAGTGGATAAAATACTGTTGGGGGCAGGGGTTAGGTCAACCAGGGCAGACACAAGATTATCAAAGGCTGGGAGGAGTAAATTGTTTTTATTAGACATGAGATTTTTTTGGGCATTTAACTGTGGTTACAGCAACAAAGTTCTGTTTTTTCTCAAAGGTCAAGCTGTCCCTGCGCCTGCTGGCGCTCCCCCTGGTGGCCAGCCAGATTACAGTGCAGCCTGGGCTGAGTACTATAGACAGCAGGCTGCCTACTATGCCCAGACAAGTCCACAGGGAATGCCACAGCACCCGCCGGCACCTCAGGTATAATACACTTGCTAATCTGTTGGTTTTTTACTCTAGTTGTGTCTCCTGCATGTTTACTGTTTGTCTGTTTGGGAATATGTTTACTTTTTAAATTTTCATCTGGCAAAGTATAACTAAAAATGAAATATTGTGGTGTGTTGTTTGGGTTTTTTGTTTGTTTTTTGTAATGCTTTCTGGCATCTGAGTGCTGAATATTTCTGCAATATCTTTGATTTTAAAAATAAATTTTCTTCCCCCCAGGGATTTGCAAATCATGCAAGAAGCCACCATCATTTATATTAACCAGTTTTTCTTTCTTAAAGGATTCACTCCTGAATTAGCTCCATTTAAAGGATTTTCTTTAACTTTTTGTGTATTTCTTATGTATCTCTTCTGCACAGGGCCAATAATAAGAAGTGGACAATACAGTATTTGCTTCATTGTGTGAGGGAAAAAAACCTTTGTTAAATATATGGATGCAGACGACTTGATGAAGATCTTAATTTTGTTTTTGGTTTAAAGTAGTGTTTTTTTTTTTTTTTTTTGAAAATGTACAAAATATCTATCACTACTGATAGGAGGTTAATATTTCTGTGTAGAAATGAAAATTGGTTTGTTTTTAGTACCTAGTGTAGATGTACACATTCCAGCAAATGTATTTGCAACTATTATGTGGTCAATGCTTTGTGATATAAATGTACTTTTTCAATGTATACTTTCACTTTTAAAATGCCTGTTTTGTGCTTTACAATAAATGATATGAAACCTCCTGTGTCGGTAAGTTGGATATGTGGCTAAAGGATTCATAATTTCTTAGCAGTTATGAATTAAGGTACATATACACCAATATATAAGCTTTCCCCGTGAATTACTGAGTTTTTAAACACTGGCATGTTTTTCCCCCTTGCAGTATAGTGGTAGATTCGAGGACCTTTCCATTTGTTGTATTTGGCTATTTCAGCACAAGTAATCCTGATATCTTCATTTTTTTCCTTCTGTTTGATTAAAACTGCATGTGTGTACAATGATCTTTTGGCATACTTCCATTGCATTAACAGCGAAATTTCCTTTTATACATGACCACTGTTTCAGACCTGTACTGCTGCTATAACAGTTAACCTTTCTGTTTTAATTTGATAATTACTTGATTTCCAAGACTGTTTCAGCATAACTGATTTTAAACAGTTTTCAGATAGTGAATTTGAATAGTCGTTTTTTTTTTTTCATGTAAAGCAATTTCAATGTATATAATAATGTCAGTGTTTCTTTCTACATGTAGGATAGAAAAGTGAATAGCATGCAAAAAATATAGCTACATTGCATCTGCCATTGAAACATAATTGGGGTATGGAAATGTTCAAGCTTTTTTCTTTTTTCCTTTTTGCAGTATAGATAAGCTTTGTTTTGTAAATGCACAAGTCCAGTCATTGAATCAAGTTAATTTTTTATGTACTTGAAATCATTTTATTACTCTTTAACACTCATGCTGAAGTTCTGATATTTTGTTGAAATCCATTGTTTTACTCTTTGCATATTTGTTGGCTCTTGCATATTAATATAGACTACATGCAAATACAGTCTGTCTTGCCATTGTCTGTTGAAGTGCAGGTTTGATCCAGCCAGTATAGAACTAGCTCTGTAGGGGTGAGGAGGACTGTGCTGTGTATCATCCTTGATTGTGTTCCTTCAAGGAGCATTGCACTGTAAGTACATCAGAATGACAAATGGATGAACTGCAACAGTATCTTTTTGTCAATGTTCCACATAATGCAAATGCCTATTTTGTGTGACTATTATGTTGGAATACAGTGCTGATATCTTGGAAAACCATAACTGCTTCATAACATAGAATAATAATATATAGTTCTGTATTTTTTTTAAGTGAGCTTAATGGGTAAGTATTTTTGATATGCTTTAGCTATAGCTAAAGAAAACTGATCATTAACAAAATTCAATAGTGTTATGGTGCTCCTAAACTATTGCTTTTCAGTGTAAAATATGCATATCTTATATGAAAACTTGAAATGTTTAAGGCAGATGTGGTTTTCTGTTTGCAAATAAGCAATATAGCACTTTTAACACCATTTCATAATTATTAGTTTTGTCATTGGTGGGGAGCACCATTTGTTGTTTTGAATATTAAAGGAAGATGTTCAAGGACATAAATGTCAAAATTACCTGTAGCGTGGAAAATAACAGTACAGTTCATTGTAGGTATTTTGAAATGTTGATTGTTTTATGTAATCTAGAGTGACTTCCCTTACGCTTATTTAGATCTTGGTATGTAGTTCTAGTTTGAAGTTTAATAGTTAAGGAGTTATATGTTATCTTTTTAAGAGTAGGGTATGGACATGAACAATTTCAGAATTTTGCATGATACTGTTATGTAGATGACCTTTTAGGAAAGTGGTGCATTTATTAATTAAACTGAAGAAATAGTTCAGTTAGATTCATTATCATAACTCAAAAATCGGAGGCTGTTGATTTTGATTCATTTAAGGTTTAAAATCTTTATTAATTGCAAACAGTGCAATTATTTATACTTCACAGTGCCTTCCCAGACCTTCCACCTTAGGTTCTGCTGCAAAAAGCACCAGGTAAGCACAACCTAAGGACATATATAAATAAATATTTCAGTACATTAATGTTGTCCCTGTGAGGTTTTCGTGGTTGTGTACTCAAAAGCAATCTGCTACCGCTTCCCCAAAATGTATTTTGTTATTTATGCTACCATTTTAGTGGAAACTGTTACGTTGTTCGGGGTGATGTTTTTTTATTTTATTTTTAATGAAAGCAAGAAAATAATGAGTAGATTGCTGCTGTAACTGAACTATATCCAAACCTTTTTGTATTTTTCCCAAAAATATAGAAGTGTTACAGTTAAGAAAGGACAGTTACATAGTTTTCAAGATATAGGTAATCATTTGGTCAGAAACCTCAACAGCCTTCACAGTCGGTTTATGTGATTGACAGGGCTTTTTTCCCTCCAAAGCTATGGTTCATTTTTTTCTTGTTCTTAACTATAATAATTCAGTAAGATCATTATGGGTCATTTTTGTGATGATTTTTCTTACATAATTGTTACATGCTGAAAAAGGAAAAATTATAGGATACTGGCAGTATGTTTTGATAAAAGGCATGTGCATCAGTGAAATGTTAACTGTATAGCAAATAACTTCATAATCTATGTAGCAACCTATATTTTTCTGACTTATAATAATTTAATAACTGACGCTGCATTTATTTTTTGCCAGTTTAAAATGTTTGTGTGTGATAGATGATTTTAACTGGTACATATTTTGAGTTAAGATGAATGTATTAAAGCAGCATCATATCAGTTTTGTTTATTGGATTTCTAAAATGTGCTGATCCTTTTAAAATTCCTGCTTATCTCTACAACAAAGGAAAATATTCAAAAATACTGCCTTCATTTTCACACACAGTGCTGAAGATGCTGCAAGCACCAAATCATAGCTCATAAAATCAGGTCCTGAGATAGTTACCCATAAAGAGGAATCCTTTGAGTGTATGCCATTGGTGAGCCGATGAGCATGGACCATAGAAGGGCTCATGTAGAAGGTAAAATTGGCAAGTCATCATTGAGAAATATGAAATGTATTCCCATACATAATATGGTAGAGGATGTAATGTACCTGCTTTTGATCACTTTTCTCTTTAAAGTGCTATTCACTTGATCTTTAATGTTCCATGAACTGTTACATTTACATTTCTTAAGTTATATAGTTACTGCACCACATTTAAGTGTTTGTGTGTTGTGATAATCAATGCTAGGTGTGTTAAAATTGACAGTGCTAAAAGGGCTCTTTCAGCCTTAAGAGCCTGCCAAGTTTTGATTAGTTGTAGTTTGCATTTTTATAAAAGAATACAGATGATGCTAATAGGTATTTGGGCATTGTTTATATCTCCTGAGACTTTTTTAAGTTCATTACCATAACCCTTCACTGATACTAATGAGCATTTTTTTTAAATGGCACTAATCTTAACTTTGAAATACATGGAAAACCGAAAAGGTGAGCCAGTTGACTTGAATGCAGTGTATGTTTAGGAGTGGTGAAAAAATGTTTAGATTTAAGTTAAATTGATTTATTTGATTTAGCACTTAAATAAAAATTTGAGAACTTCTTAAAAGACATCTTAGTGTGGTTATATACTTCTGTGGTTTATTTTAGAAATGAGAAAGTTATAGTTTTGTTTTTTATTGAAAATTGTTTTAATATTAAAACTAGTGATTTGCTACTAGCTGTTTATTAACACTGTAAAAAACATCCTTAAACATCTTGGTAGTTAATTAATAAGGCTGAGTTTGAGTAGAAATAGAGTACCTTGAGAAGGAATTAGTATATTAAACAGTGGTAGCATTTTGTTTGAGTAGTCTGCCAGGAGAACCAATTCTATCTAGGAAGTTACTTCTTGTCTAGAATAATGCTATAGAGTTTAGTCATCAATGAGAATGTCTTATTTTGTTCTCTGTTTCAAATGCTGCCTCATTTTAAAATGCATTTTAACAATACCTTAAGATAATTTTGACTCTGAAATAACCTTACTTTTTGTTTAATCAGTCAGTTGACTTTTCTTACCACAACATAAATTTCTGAGGGATTTTTTAATTGGTTCTTTTATGAAGCAAATCCCAGGATTTTATTTTCTTTGGTACTATCCCTAAAGAAGCTATATTAAATGTATTTGAGAATATATATATATTCTTTTCTTATGCATGCTCAATGCATTTTCGTCCTGAGAAAAGTGTTCTCTACAGAAACTACCCGTGTGTAAAAAGAAGATTGGCTTAAAATGGCTACTGTGATGGGAACAGTATCTTAGGGAGATGCAGCTTGGACTTGAGGTAAATTGAATACTTTACAAACTGTGGTTTAGAGTTTGCTTTAATGACATTGTATGTAAAGGACGTATGATTGTTGTAATTTTGTATTCATTATGGTCTCAATAAAAAAATAAATGTACATTGACAAATATTATGAGTATGTTGTATCTTTCATACATAGATACCCAATAAACCTTTTTTCTACGTTATACTTGCCCTTGAAGGTTTACATGCTGTGAGAATAATGAAGTTATCAATAAACATTTGATCACACAAGTCTTTGAGGAAAGATCCATTTTTTTCTGTTTAATACACAAGTTACTTTATTAAGGGCTTCATATTGTAAAATAAAATTGTCTTTCAGAAAATTAAAATATAAAACAACCTGATGAGAGAATAGCTAATTATTTACAAACCTAAAGACTAGAATTTTAAATTGAAGGCTGCACCACTTCTAAGTCTAATCCTTTTAGATCTGAAAAAGCTTCAGTGATGTTAAATCTTTGCTCCTGCATGAACTATTAATACTACAAACTTTTTTCATTAAAATATAATTTGTTCAAACAAGATCACAACAAAAGTTGGTTGTATAAGTTTGTATATTAAACATTTGAATAGTACATATTAAATATTCAGAACACTGGTTTCTATCAAATTTTGTTGGGCAGTTTCTTAAACATCCTACTTTTGTTTCTATCCATGCCGTTTCCCCTTAATAGACCTGCTTCAAAAAGACCAAAACTACCACTGTCAGAATTACATACTACTATGAAAAAGTCCATTTGTAGGTTCCAATTTCATTACCTTAAGTGTTTCAGACTAATTTAGGTGTAAAAGATCATAAATGACAGTCTCTTGCGCAAAATAAGGTATACTTTAAAAAATACAACTGATATAAAATGGGAAGTACACATCTTGTATTTTTCATCAAATGGAGTAAATTTCACATCCTCCTTTGGGTACATTTCATTGACTTGCAGAAAATAGTGACAAATCTGATGGTCACTTGGAGAAGAAGGCGATCTTTAGATGAGCTTCTGTTTTGAAAACTGTTAGGAAAAGGAATTAAGTCAACCTATTGGCACTTCTGGTTTCCTTTTTTGGCCCAGCCACAGAAAAGATGGATGTAGTAAGAAGGTTGGGGGGGGAGAGAGAGTTCCGAGGGGAGAAGGAAGCCTAGTAGTCGTCAGCTAAAAAGAGAAGAAGAAAAATTACTTTTGAAGGAAAAACACAGTATAAATAGAGTAGAAGATTAAAAGACTGATTAATTCTTACTTTCAATGGTAAGAATACAGGTACTAGCTGCAGAGCCTTTATTATTGACTGCTTTACACATGTACTCTCCTCCGTCTTCTGGGAAAGTTTCTGGTAAGTAGAGGCAGTAAGTTTCTCCTCTTTCAATATACTGGTAGTCTTCCCCGTCCTGCAGTATCTCTCCTTCAAACCACCACGTGACTTCTGGTTTGGGATCTCCTGTTACTTTAACTGTAAATCTGACTGGCTCACTGTCCACAACTGATGTGTTTTTCAGTGGCTTCTTGAACCATGGAGCTCCTGATCTGCTTTGCTCTTCATCTTCAATGGTAGAGCCATTCATGATGCTACCCTCCTCCTCTTCCTCCTCTTCTCTTTTCTGTATTAAAGAAGCGTATTCAAGTTGGCTTTATAATCTTACCTGAGCACAGATTTTTGTAATACGATTTCAAAGGTAAAAGTAAAGAACATTACTAAGCACAGAGTATTTTCGGGAACTTGAGAGCTATGCATTGCTCTTGTAACTACAGGGTTTTTTGGTAGCAGGAACTGAACTGAGGACCTCATGCTTGCCAGGCAGGTCCTGTGCTACTGAACTATGCCCTTGGCCCCATAACTGGTTTTTAAAACCTTCCTTGGAAGATAAGCATGATACGGATACCTTTTGTAATGCTGCATCGATTTCTTTTTGTTCAAACTGCATTCTTAGTAACTTTTGTTCTTCGATTCTCCTCTGTTCTTCTTCTTCTCTTGCCTTAGCCATCTGTTCAAATCTAGCTTTCATATTCACTTTATGAGTAAACGGAGCTTCACTTTTCTTTGCAGGCTTCACATCAACATCTTCCTCCTTCAAGAAAGTGGGCCAAGATTAATAGTTTCCTGGGAATGGAGCTAAATACTAATAGTTCTGTCACTATAAGCACCAAGTAGTGTGTATATTCTATACTCTGGCTGTGAAATATTTATGTTTTTCTCCCAGGGTAGATCATGTAACTTTTTGCCCAATGAAGTCAGTACTTGTTTTTGATAGCACTGGGTAGTTTGAGGGAGGACCCCAGATTGTAGAACCTGTCTTACATCAGACTGTCTTTATCTTAAAACAGTTAATTCACCACACCTCTCCAGACCTGATTTCTCTAGAATTGATCTGGTTTGCCAGCCACAAGCAACTTTGTAACCTATCGCCCATTATTGTACCATTGTTGCCTGATACTCTGGACCTACTGTCCACTCAGGAAAATGTACCACCTCTGCTGACTCCAATCAAACATACCCTGCAGTGCCTACGGTGTTTATGTAGCCTTCACATCTGCCTGAAATGCCCTTATCCTCAGCCTGTCAATCTCACTTAGCAGGTATGGTGCACTAAGGAGGCTGAGGCAGGAGGATCCCCTCACATTTGAGGCCAATCTGGGCTACATATAGTGAGTTCAAGGCCAGCCTCAATTACAGAGCAAGACCCTCTCAAAAAATCTTACATAGAGATAGTGACTCCACCCACTTTGATCCTGTAACACTCAAGTACATGTTGCCCTTCTAGCAGTTGTTTTCAAGCATTTCCTGTTAGGCTCACTCATCTGTCCTCAGAACAACTCGGGAACCAACAGGAGAAGTTACAAACTACCTCGCCCTGCTTGGCTAGTTTCTAGTCTCCCTTGTGATCATGTCGAGACCCTGGCCATCTTTAGAGTAAAGGCTGTGGGAGCAGGGATTGCAGATTTAGTCCCCGAGGTAGTCACAGTGTGCAGAGCAATCCCTGTAACAGCAGGCAACTGAGTAATTTTTACTGTATCAAAAGCCATCTTCGGTTGTGTTGTTTTGTTCTGTGCTTTGGTACTGGGGATAGAACTCACGAGCTCATGCCACTCAAAAGCCACCTACAGTGTCAATGTGTTTCCATGTTTTGTTTACAATACTGTTGATTGAGCCCAGGGCTTTGCACAAAGCTGCAGCCCCACCCCTTTCTATTTTTATTTTGGGACAAGGTCTTGCTAAATTGGCCAAGCTAGACTAAGAAGAGACCTTCCTGCCTCGGCCTCCCAGAATGCTTCAAATACAGACATGCCACTACATCTGGCTTACCTGCATGTTTAAAAATCCCTTCAACATGGCATCCGGAGACCTGTGATCTCACTTGTACTTGCACCTTTATTACCTTTGATTGGTTTTTCCCAGAACTGGGGATAACACTGAGCTACATTCCCTGCCCTTCTTTTATTTTTTACTTTGACATAGGCTATTGCTGAGTCACTAAATTGCTGGGGCTGGGTTTGAATTTTTGATCCACCTGCCTTAGCCTCCCAGAGTGCTGACACTACAGGCGTGCACCACCACATCCAGTTTCTCCTTTATTCTTTGCATTCTGTGCATACCTTCATAAATTGCTTACAGTCCCAATGATAAGCACACGATGTCTTCATTCGTCCCACTTCGTCTCCTAGGGAAGCCCTCCCAACCTCCCATCCCCGCTAGTTGAAGATTTGATAAAAATGTACTTTTAGACTATAGGTCAGATGTTAAATATTATGCAAAGGCAATTCTGCCAGAAAAAAAACTTCAGAACTCACTAAGCCAATACTTTCAACAATGGAAGTGCCCCTAAATGCAAAAACGTCACAGCACAGTGCCTGCTCCCTTGTTTAATACACGGAGGGGGTTCAAATCCATGTCCTCAGCACTGTGATTCGGGCTCTTCTAGGAATGCCTGCTGTGAGACCCAGAATATCATAAGGGTCTGTGCATGTCACCAATGAAATGTGAGGTTCACAGGAATCATCTGGAGTTAAGACTTGAACACACTCTTGTTTTACTGAGTCAGCTAAACTGTGTCCTGGTAAACATTTTCCCACCATATTTCCTTGGACTGAGCTAGTTGATGTTCATTATGTGATGTCTCATTTTGAAACAGTGCAAGGATGGGAAGGTCTCTCAAAGTTTCTTCAGGTCTTAAAGTGATTTCGCTAATTTCCAGATTATTATCTATGCCAGGGATTAACCACAACCACTAGAACACCCCAAAGCCACACCTGAGAAACCAGTCAGCCCTGTATGGTGGCAGTGTCATGTGTGAAAGCAGTGTACCTCGTGGAAGTGCTCCGCTTCTCGTTCTTTAATTTCAAGGTCTGTCGCTCTCCTCCTCGCACGCTCCTCTTCTATCTTTCTCTGTATTTCTCTTTCAGACAACTGTCCGATTTTTTCAAACTTGCTTTTCAGGCTCTTAGCTTGAATAGAGCCACTTCTCTTTAATTTGATTAATTCTTCATATTCTCTGCTCAATTCAAAAGTTTCACTTTCTTCCTCTTCCTTCAAGAAATTAAGATTTTTATGTTGGCTATCAGCAAATCACATAGTACTCTCCTTATCCAGAGAGTATATTTTTAAAGATGCCCAGTAGAGAATCCTGTATCTGCTGGGGTTTTTTCCTATTCTGGCTACAGATCTTAGCAGCCCAGCACACAGATTATTTTGTTTTGCTTCGTTTTCTTATGAAGTTGAGAACTTTCATTCACAGGAAGCCCTTCTCCCTTCTGTCTGGTGTATCCAAATTACCAGTCACAGTGCTCTTGTGCTCTGGGGCCATTACGAAGGAGGACTCGGGTTACCAGAACACAAACTCTGCTCTGCTGTGACATCAACCTGGTGACAGGGAAGTAAGTAGCAGGCAGGTAGAGTATGCAGCGTAGATGCGCTGCACAAAGGGAGGCCTCGTGTTCTGGCAGGATGGAAGGGGGCAGCAAGAGGTAACATCACACTACATGGAGCAGTACACCATAGTGCGGTGGAAGCTTGTTAAGTGGTCCTGAAATTTCCCTTATTTTGAGTGTGGTTGACCACAGGAAAGGAAGGTACAGGTGGGGGAGGGGTGATGGTTTGTACAATATAAAGCCTGTACCATCTTGTTTTGAGACCAAAAATAAAACTTAATCTCTAAACAATATCCAAATCTAATTAAAAGTCATACAATATATATAAGACTAGGAAATATTCCATTTGAAGTTTGCCAGGAAGCATGGCTAAAATCCTCTAACATTTCCATAATCTCCTAAATTTAAATTTGTTTGGCAAGAGTATTGTTTATCAGGAATTACAGGATGATTTTTATTAAATAAAATTGAGAGAAATCAGAAGTAGAATTGAGAGAATATTAAGATACAAGTTACAGTTCCATGTGTGTGTGGCCTCTTACCTAACTGTTAACCCCCCAGGCGTGGTCTTCTTCATCTATAATTAGAGGCAGAAGATCTCGACATTTCTCTTTTGGATCTACGGTGGTCTTTTAAGGTTACACATGACTGCTAACTCAAGCTAACATGAGAACCAGAGTCTGGTAAATACCTACATTTCCCTAGAAGTGAGTTTTTACAGACAGACTTCCATATCCAGTTTCGCATATGAAGTTAAAATGAGGGGAGGGTGAAGGAAAGGCTGGACCTTGGGACACTTTCCTCCAGGATATTTACACGGTTATATCCCTATGACAGTTATAGTCCCAGGGCAAAGCAGATCATTGCTGAGCTATAGCCAGCACGGGAAGTCAAACTGCTCTCCACAACCCGTCACCCCAACCTGTGACCAGTGAGCAACTCCCAAGAGGCTGCACCCTCTATGCAGAGACCTGCTGGCTCTCAGGTCAGGAGCTGTAAGAACAGCCTTCCATGTAGCCTGCCGAGCATACCATGGCATGCTGGAGAGTTGTTGCTCACCTTGCCCCAAGGGTGCCCGTTCCTGTGTACAGCCTGGCACTACCAGGGTCCCTTTCTGTCCTTCCCCTCTGCTGCCTGGAAAACCTGAACCACCCACAGGAAATAACAGCATCCAGACACGGGGAGAAGATGAAGCAGGCATGGGGAAGGAGGCCCCTGAGAGCCGTCTCTGGATGGCAGGAGACATAGATGAGCCGGAGATTCCCGGCCCTGGCACAGAACCATGGACCGATCAGCTTTTATTTATAAAACTCATGGTCAGAGATAAGTTGGTGGCCTCAAGGCATTGCAGTGAGGCTCTCTGAGCCCAGAGGCTTGTGTGTGCATAAGCTGTGTGCCCGAGATACCGGTCCTGTCCGTATGTGTACTGAGCTCATCTCAACACTAGACAGTGCATACTAAGATGGTTAACAGCAGCAGAGTTCCATATGGAATCACTTGGTAAAATTAAGACATTCAAATACTTGCTGGTGAAGCTTAGTGGTAGACTACACAAGGTAGAATACACGAAGCCCTGGGTGTAGTCCCCACCCCCCAAAATAAAGCCCTTGCCAAACTGATGAATTTATTAAAATCTATCATCCTGTTGGTTTATTTATCCTGCTGTTTTATTTTAATTAAACTTAGCAGCATGTCTAGCTCAAGGAAAATTTGTGTGAGTATATTCATAATCAGGGTGTACCTGTGCACAGCTCTGAGCTCTGGAAGAAAAATAGCTACTTAGAAACTATAATATCTCTGCCACTTGCAAACTTATATGCATATGCATTTGTACACTACCTTCATACCTGACTGCTTTGAAGCTCATTGAATTTAATGCTTGATGTATTTTGATATGGAAAAAACATACATGCATGTGTTTGTGTGTGTGATACGTGCTTGGGATCGAACACACCTCACACATGCTAAGTAAGAGTAAAAGATCTGCCACTAAGCTACCATCTCACCCCCCGGTATCTGTTTTCCAGACGAGCAGGGAGGGGTGGAGGGAGGTACAGCAGAACAGCAAATGCATGTGACTGCTGAAGCCGGTACCACACATGTCTCAGGAGGAGCTGAAGAAATCTACATGACTGAAGGTACGAGGCGACTACGCCACGGAGGCAGATGGCATAAAGGGATAGTCCTTAAAGTCTCACCTCTCCCATTTCTTGTCTCAGTTGTTCGAATTCCTGTTTTTCCATTTCTAGCTTATGCTTCCGTTCCTCTTCTGTTCGTCGCTTTTCTTCCTCCATTTTTTGTTTTAATAATTCTTCAAAATTAATTTCCAGTTTTCCCGGTGTGAGAGATTCTTGAGAGATTGTCTTATATATCTCTGGGGAGTCATCATCTGCTACCTATTTAAAATAATTATCACTTTTGCCTTCTATATACTAAAAAGAGAGTATTTATACAAACTGGGGTTACTTGAATAGAAAGGCTTCACACTGAAAAAAACCCAGATCAAAAATTCTGTTCAAAAGTAATAAACAAGGAAGGAATTATGAGAAAATGTAAAAGAAATACATAAGGGAAGAATTATTAGAAAATGTAAGACATATTTTGTGGTTAGGAAGAAATGGTGACAATCTAGTCTCCATGCCAATAAACATGAAATACTTTACCTCTGAGTAATTTGAATTCATTAATATTGAGATCATTTTAATGGATTAAAATGACTCTCCATTCTGGTAATTAAAATAGAACATTTCAATTAAGTCATGATCTTTTCTGAATAAACAGACCATCATGAGCTTTTTAAAATCAAATACTACAATTTCATTGTACCGATTTATTTGCTGCCAAGATAATTTTAAAGACAGTATCATTAATCATACTATCATTAATATCTACTTAGAGCTATGTATTTATTTAATCCTATAATCTTATGAAGGTTGTCATTATTATCCCCATTTTATGGGCAAGAATGAGAAACTATAAATGTTTCGGGCCCCTACGTTTACGGTCTGTGCATTTAGCCACTGAGAAAGTCAAACACTTGGGTGTGTGTTGGAAGCTGCCCAAGCAGAGGGAGAGTGAACTAGTTTACACTGTCAGTTAAAATGTAACCAGCAAAGGATGCCGGGTTCCTGTGTCAAACTGCTAGAAAATGCTCCTCATCTGAAAGTGTCACGTCGTGAGATATGAGTGTCAGGCCCCAGGAGTGAGGAGTAGCGTTTGCAGAGCTGGTTACTAGAAGATTCCTTCCCTAGTATACTGGATGGCATGAAATCTGAACAGAATGGAAAGAGGAAGGAAGGAGAGAGGCACTGTGCGACAGAGGGACAGGAGGGCAGAGACAGACACACACACAGACAGACAGACAGGAGGGGAAGGTGGACCCTGGGCTCCTGAAGCCTGCCTGCCCAGCAAGGCAGTGTCCGGTCCTTTGTACCAGCCGCACCCTGAGCAGGTCCCCTGCCCCAACAGTGCTGCTCGCGGGGCCTTCAGAGCCTGCTCCCTGTGAGTGCCCAGCACAGCCTGGCCCAGCTCCCGGCGGGGTGCTCACCATGCTCCTCCTCGCCTCAGCAAACGCCCTCTTTTCTTCCTCTATTCTCCTCCTGGCTTCTTCCTCTGCTTTCCTCTTCTCCTCTTCTCTCCGTTGTCTTTCCATTTCCTCAAAACTGAGTTTGAGTTTCCCTGGACGATAGTTTTTAAAATTCTTTTCTGTGTTTTGGTTTTCCTCCTCTTCATTTACCTAACCAAAGAAACAATTCATTACTAAGAATTGAGGTTCATTCACAGGAATGATGCCAGCCATGGTGGCACAAGCCAGCGCTTGCTCGGGAGGCTGAAGCAAGAGGATTGCTGTGAATTCAAGGCCAACCTGGGCTACATAGTGAGTTCAGGGCCTGACTGAACCCCATAGCAAAACCCTGTATTAAAAAAGACCAAAATAAAACAAAACACACCAGGAACGAGCTATTGGCCACTAGACTTAGCTGCTTCAGGGAGGCGTGTTTCATTTCCTTAATATACTTGGCCAAAATCCCCTTCCTTTTTACCACAGGAAAAATATGCTACATAAGATAAAATATTTAAAATGGGAAAAATTCCAAATAGAGATTTACTCAAGTTAAACAGAACCTCAATCAAGTTTTAAACAAAATGAAACATTTCAAAACATTTGAAGATTAACTCAGACATAAACTATATGTATGTGTACTTCAGTTGGACCTGAGGTGAACCTACAGGGAGTCTTTTTTTTTTTTTTTTTTTTTGTCTTTTTCGTTTTTATGGGTACCAGGGATCGAACTCACGACTGCCTGCTTGCAAGGCTGGCGCTTATGCCGCTGAGCTAAATCCCCAGCCCCTACAGGGAGTCTTTTGGGGAGCAAAATAAAGTTCTCATATTTTAATTGTTAAGGAATTTTTTTTCACTGAGAATGATGACACTTTTCCTCATCCTGATCAGGTATTATCTGGAACTGTTTTGTAGAAAATTCAGATGTGGGCTGGGTGGTGTACCTTCAGGGGAGTGTTTGCTTATCATGAAGACTTGAGTTTGATCCCCAGCCCCACCAAAACCAAACAAAATATTTGGATTTCATGATTTGGTATTAAATTAAATATGAACTGAAATGTATTATTTGGGGTTTTTTTGTACTGGGAATCGAACTCATGACCTCTCACTTGCCAGGCAGGCCTTGTGCTGCTGAGCTGTGCCCCTGGCCCTTGGTTAACTATTTTTCTATTTCTTTAAGCTGCCGTCTGCCTCCTCCCTAAATTGCTCTCCAAGGGTAGGGCTCTTTTTTCACTTTGAATGTTTATAATACGCGAGGGGAGTTGGTGCATGTGCATAGCACATCTGAATGCCCTGTCCTCTCCGCCTCCCCAACTCAGGATTCCCTTCCGTTTTGCAAACGATCTGTCCCTTTATTTCATATATTAATAGTCTTTTATTTTGCTCTTTAATTTATTTATGACTTAGGTTTCTCATATAAGAGAAAACGTGTTATTTAAGCTTGTGTGTTCGATTTACTTCCCTGAACCTGACAGTCTCAAAGTGCATCCATTTCCCTATCAATGACTCAAATTTACCCCTCTTTATGGCAGAGTAGTACTCCATGGTATTATAGATACCAAACTTCCTTATCCATTCATCTGTCAAAATTCTTGAGATATAATCCTTAGAATATCACTGATGAAAACTGATCAAGAAAGTTGTGGCAACTTTAAAAATTACACATGTTCCATTTTCACATTTTTCCAATGAGATTGGGAACTAGTGTTTTTATTTTTATTTCTTATTGATAAATCTATTAATACCATACTATCAATATTCTCGCATTTAGCAAATGCCAACACTATTTCAGGTGCCTTCTAATTTTAACTCAAACATTTAAGAACTATCATTGTCACCATTTTACCAATGAAACTTAAGACACACAGAGCTTAAATAACCTACCTCTAGTTATCCAGTTAATAAGCAGTTAATGTCTGAATCCAAGCAGTGTGTAACCATATTACACACACTGCACACTTTACAGGACAAAACAGTATTTATTCCTCTGTATACTCTTACTTTAGTATGTTCAAATATCTGAACTGCACTGAAACCAAATATACCTGTAGTGAGACTTGAAAATGTCCCGCAGCTCAACAGACACTAACTGCGCTGCAGACTGCACCATAGAAGAGAAACCAGGTTTACTGAGTCACTGCTTTGCAAACAATTAATAACAGTATAAAATAAAAATTCAAAGTCGAAACTTGAAAACAGTACAGATGCATTTCATTCATCTACATATTCTGTCATACATATGTCTCCAGCCCTTGTGTATAGTGAACAGCCTCGAACTCGTGGTGCTTGCCCTGGGTAAAGCCGCCAGCTTCCCCATTAATACAAAGCCTAAGACTTCAGTCGTGAGCGCCTTACCATCTGCCGCCTGGCTTCTTCGAAGGCTCGTTTCTCTTCTTCTAAGCGCTGTCTGGCTTCCTCTTCTGTTTGCTTCTTTCGGTTTTCTTGTCTTTGTCGCTCCAGTTCTTCAAAAGTCAGTTTCAATTTTCCAGGGAAAGGCGATTCTTTTCTTGCCTGGTTTTCCATGTCATCATCCTAGGAAAACATGAAACCTATCCGTTAGCCATCAAGTGAGATGCCGTGAGCGGAACTATTTTTCCTCATTTTTTGTTGTTGTTGTTGTTGGGTATTTTTGGGGGGGTTGCTTGTTTGTTTGTTTGTTTTTGCTCTGGTATGCAGTTCAGGCTGGCCTTGGGCTCACTTTGTAGCCCAGGTTGGTCTTGAACTTTCAACGATCCTGCTGCCTCAGCCTCCTGAGTGCTGGGATTACAGGAGTGCGCCACCAGCCCCAGCTAGAAATATTTTAATTTGTTCTTTAAGAACGATTTACCATGACCAATGAGAGGCACTTTGCTTCCTTGAGAGAGCGTCGCTGTTCTTCGTATCGTATTCTTTTATCGTCCTCACACGAAAGCCTTTCTTTGTCTTCCTGTTCTTTTCCTGGATCCTCAAAATTCCTCATTTTCCCGGATGTTTTGTATGCCTTGACAGGTACCACTGTTATTAGGAGCGAGTCATCTCCTTCCTATTTTATATAAGATAGATAATTAACTTACACCTTCTTATTAAAAATTCAGGTCTCAGGGAACTTTACCTCTGTGATTGGTGAATTTCATTACATTGTTGTCAGTGTTATTATGAAAAACGAGAACTTACATATTTTACTAATTACTTTTAGATATCTTTCTCGAAAGTCACGGTGCATTATTAGTGAATCTTATTGAAATCCACTGGTGACAAGGTTCGAGAAGCATTCAGTTCCCTAACAGGTGGCGTTAACATAACTAATCAGATAACAAAACCGTAGTGACATTGCCAGCTGAATCCCCAACCCCAGCCAGCTCAGGTGCCCGTGAGTGGACTCCGAATCAATTTGATGGTGGATGGATTTTGTTTAAACATCAAAAAGTTTCCTCACATGATTCTTTATGCAGGTTTTCAAATAATTAATCTAGTGTCTAATTTAAAAAATCAAACCACAAGATAGCCAATTGATTGGTTAAAAATTTACAATATAGATAGAAATCTTTAGTATTTTATCTATTAAAATATTTTTTCATTTCTGATTTCAGTTAGCCCTACTCCATTATTGTTGTTTCTAACTTTTTGCAAAAATCAGCAAATTATAAAATGTAATATATGTCCTAAAAATAAACATTTCCAATTTATGCAGCTGTGGTTTAGGGGCACCATCAAATTGTTTGAGTTTTAACTTTTTCTGTTAGATAAAAAGATATGGCTGTTGGTAGGTGGTGATACACACTTCACTGTCTACACCCATATGAAAACCACAACATACATTATCAGCGCTGAGGAGAAAAAGAAAAGATGAAAAGAAAACTACCTTTAAAGTGTTAGTTTTCGACAATCTGAATGTTAGTAACAGTTTGAGAAATGCACAGTCTTGGCAGAGGGTCCTAAAGTGAGACTCTTCTAATCTATAAGAGCAAAAACATTCTTCCCTAAACACACTAAGCTGTAGAGTTTGAAAGGACAGAAGTATAATCTTGCCTTGGCAAAACACACTTCTTTTTTGTAGTTACTGTTTTATTTATAATAAAACAAATTAAATAAAAAGCTCTTCTAGTTTTTCTGAGGTTACAAGATAATGTATGAATCAGATCATTTGAAGTGAGTGTTTCATGAAAGGAAATGTCTGTTTACCTCTGATCCTGATTCAGTGGCCGTATTGTTTATGTCCTCAATCTATTGAATGAGAATTTCATATCATTACGTTACATTGGATTTCTGCTTCTTGCTTGTAAACATACGACTGAAAAGTAATTTAGTTGTGACTTACGGTAAATTTTCTTTTTTTATTTATTTTTTTAAATAAAAATCAACTTACGGTAAATTTTCAAATGTGTAGTCTTTGAAATATTTTCTGTTGTTCCAAATTAGCCAATGTTCTTTTAAATGGAGATTAAACCTTAAATTACGTTTTGCATCTTGATGTCGATATCCAGAGAGCACCATATTAAGAAAAAATTAAGATAAAGCCTACCTTTGTAAATCTGGAAATTGAATAATAGGCCAGATTCTCTGACCTGGCTGTGAGCTTACCAGCAGCAATTATTAATTTTATTAGCAGTATAAATTGAAACACACAGAACCATTCTTCCATTATTTGCCCCTGCCCCCAACAAAAGGAAAATGTATCATTAGTGATCAAATAATTGTCATGATTATATTTACAATATAGGGCAAAAATTTAAGTGACGCAATAGTAAAATGTGGTAAAATGTGTAGGCTAATTTAAAGGGAAAATAATTCTGGAATTCTTAATGCTTTTTTTTTTCTGTATTTTGCCAAGATCTAAAGAGGAAAAACTCTCATTTAAAAGGTGAGAACTGGGGGCCGCAGTGGTATATGCCTATAATTCCAAGGATTTGGGAGCTGAAGCAGGAGGTTCGCAAGTTTGAGGCCAGCCTGTCTCAAACTTTTTGAAAGAGCTGGGGATGTAGCTCAGTGCGATGACCCTGAGTTCAGTCCCCAGTACCACAACTGGGGCTCATTTTGGCCGTTACAATTTTTTAATTTTTATTTATTTATTTTTATTTTATTTTATTTTATTTTTTTTTTTTTTGTCTTTTTCCTTTTTATCGGTACCGGGGATCGAACTCACGACTGCCTGCTTGCAAGGCAGGATTGGCCGTTACTCTTAAGAACACACTAGCTTGGCTGAGGGGCAGGCTCATCTACTTTCCAAAGTAATAGCTGAAAGAAGATTAATTTAATCCTGATTTAATCCTGCAGTGTTTGAGAGCTTAGAAAAACAAAACTTAAGCAAGAACAAAATAGGAACCATAGGAAAGTAAAACTTAAAAAAGAAAGTAAAACTTCAAATGCTTGTTTTAATTTGGCTTATAATGTTAGTGAATTGGAAGTAGTTTGTTCCTTGTATGACTTAAGGGAGTTCTGTCATACTGTGGTTTATATTAGTAACTGGACTGGGTAAGTACTTATCTGGCTTTTCTTTCTTCTATGCTCTGTCATGGAAGAAATAATATATTCAAATACCTAATACTTTGATAAATAAATTATTCTAAACAAATCATTTATTTTTAAAAATCTACTTTATACTTTAATAATTTTTTTTTGTCTTTTTCATTTTTATCAGTACCAGGGATCGAACTCATGACAGCTCGCTTGTAAGGCAGGCGCTTATGCCGCTGAGCTAAATCCCCAGCCCTTAATAATTTATTTTTAATAATTTCATTCAGAAGCTGGGCATGGTAGTAATGCAACTGTAATCCCAGTACTTGGGAGGCTGATACAGGAGGATGGCTGCAAATTCAAGGCCAGCCTGGGCTACAGAGTGAGTTCAAGGCCACCTTGAACTGCATAGTGAGACTGTGTCTCAAAAAACAAAATTATTGGGGCTGGGGATTTAGCTCAGCAGCATAAGCACCTGCCTTGCAAGCAGGCGGTCATGAGTTCAATCCCCGGTACCAATAAAAAAAAAAAAAAAACTCAAAGTTATTATTATTATTATGGAATAATTTTGTACACTACAAAATTGTTTTGTTCAGGATAATTTCCTTTATTTCAAACAACTTAACACTGATTTGCTGTGTAAGTGGTAAAGGTTTCGTTGAAGTATTATACAAAGAAAAAATGTAATGGAACTACAATAAAATAATTTAAAAATAACTCGCCTCCAAAAGAATACCGTCAGCTCCTATAAAGACTACATTAAACTCTGACTGAAAAGATTCCGGGGTCTGTCGAGCAGCCAGACACTGCGAGCCCGGCTGGAGGAATGCTCCCGTAGTGCTCCCAGCTTGCCTTTCCTGGCTGCCACCCCTTCTCTGATCTTCCTTCGCTTAGGACAAAAGGGTAGAGTGGTTTTTCCTGTGCTCACTTTAAATCATTATGAAACTGGCAGAAGATGGAAGAAGAATTTTCTTCAGTAAACAAGGAAAAAGATGAGCTTGGGTAAGGGCCGTGTGTCCGTGTAGTCACAGAGGACAGACCTTCAGAAGCTACCAGAAAAGAGCTGCTTCCCAGCTCGAAATCATGGAAAGAAAACTCCTTTTGCTTCTTCCCAGGTCAATTCTTTTGCCCTTTCTTGTTTCAAGATTCCTTCCCCCACCAATAACTTCTCTTTTTTTAAGTTAATGGGCTTTAACTTAAAAAAAATTTGCCCATCAAGATATCTTTAAAAATAAGCAGATACTATCAAGTCAGGACTCTACCTCAGCAGTACTCTGGAGGCTGAGGAGGGAGGATCACTGTGAATTTAGGGCCAGCCTGATCTACATAGTGAACTCAAGGGCAGCCTGAACTACATAGGGCTCAAAAACATTTTTTTTATTCTAACATCCAATACACAAGTCATATTCAATTTTAATTCATCATAAGACCCCAAAATCTTAGAGCTGATAATTTCTTGGCAGTCATTCATTCATCCCCAGTCCCTGAAGGCAGAAATCCCTTCTTACAACGCTTGTGCATATAGATCTGTACAACTGGGGTTTGTAAGCCATTTGAGACTCTTGACTATCTTTTCCATCTTTTACTCCTTGTATTCAAAGATACATTAGATTATAATAGACCTGAGTGGAAAATGTACTTAGATCTTAAAATTAAACTTTGCATATTTACAAGCTGACAGCACTGTTAATACTCTGCCCTACCTACACAGCTTTAGTTTAACAGACTCCAAAGTTTATTAACCAGGATTCTCTGGCTCTCTGCCATGTAGCAGGTATTTGGAGTAACTAAAGAAAATGGATATTTTTAAGGATCATATTTTGTTTGCATCACTCTCTGAGAATTCTGTCTTCACCATATTCAAACTCACTTTTTCAACATGCACAATTTTTTAAATTTTTAATTTTTCTTTCTTCTTTTGAGACAGGATCTCATTGTGTAGTACAGGACTTGAATTCAATATGTAGCCCAGGCTGGCCTCAAACTCACATGATGATCTTCCTGCCTCAGCTTCCTAAATTCTGGAATTATAGGCATGTACCACCACACCCAGCCCACACAGACAACTAAAAAACAAACAAACAAACAAAAAACCCACCACTACCTATGTATTTCATTTCTGAGGTTGAAAAGCCTCTGAAAATGGTGCTATAAAATGTTGGATACAAGCCAGGAGTGCTGGCTCACATCTGTAATCCTAGCACTTGGGAAACTGAGGCAGGGGGATCACTGTGAGTTCCAGGCCAACCTGAGCTGTATAGTAAGCTTAATGCCAGCCCAAACTACATAGTGAGATTGTGTCTCAACCAACAAAAAAGAGAGGCTGTCATTCAAGTATGCTATTTGCATGTATGAAAATGTCACAATCCTGCTATTCTATATAATATATGTGAATAAAAGAATTAAAAACAAGCCAGGGATGGTGGCGCACGACTGTAATCTCAGCACTTGGGAGGCTGAGGCGGGAGGATCAGTACAAGTTTGAGACCAGCCTGGGCTACAGAGTAAGCTCAGTGCCAGCCTGAACTACATAGTGAGACCCTATCTCAGAAAGACAAAAAATAAATAAAAAATAAAAGCTTTAAAACCGAAAAACTTAAAAATAGACTAACCTCATGTACATATGCACTATTTTTTGCCAAACGCCATATATTTTAATTACATTGTATTCTCTTATTTTGTAACTTACAAAATATATAATCTATGTATGTTTATAATTTATATTCTCATAATTTTATTTCCTTGCAAAATTTCACTGCAAAATGAATGTTAAAATTAATGACTATGAAATTTGAATAAGTATTTTCACTTAAGATACTGTTGTTAGGTTAGCTGCACTAATAGGTTTATATTGCATGAAAGCATTTTAATTAGGAAACATACATTAGTTTTCCTTTGGAAAATTAGTTCCAGAAGCAAGTACCCACTTAGCGTTGAGTATGTACCTGCTCAGCCCTTTTTGCTAATTCGCGCTGTATCTTCCTCTTTTCTAGCATATCCTGCTCGATTCTGCGTCTCCGTTCCTCCTCCGTTCTCTTCCTCTGTTCCTCCTGTCGTTGTTTCTCCATTTCAGCAAATTTACCTTTAACAGTACCTGGGAGTGCATGAAAAGAACACTCGCTGCTTTGCTGGGTTTCTCTCTTCCGTGATTTCATCTACGGTGGTGGACCCCGCTGGCTTCTTACCTGTGAGCTTGGGGACGTAAGCCTTTTCTACTTTGGAAGCGCCTTCTTCCTCCTCGTCAGAAGCAAGCATGTCCTTAATCTAGGCGGTCAGATAACTCAGGGTGAGCGCAGGGCCCAGGGGAGGCCGATCCTGACAGCTGCCCCGCGGCCTGCAGGGGGCGCCCCCCAACACCCCAGGGTGGCGGCTGCAGATTATAAATGGGCTCAGAAGGGCAGTAGGGAGCCCTCGTTAGGAACCAGACCCATCGTCACCGTCTATGAAATCTAAAGTGTTTAAACTTCATGAATCGCTTATGACCTGACTTGCCCGCTTCATCTGCTGAGACCAAGAACACCCACAGGTGACTGGCACCGTAAAAAGCAAAACCGCGCAAGGGCCACTGCTCAGTGTGTGCACTGCGAATTAGCTTACGGGTACAGAGAAACCGTTCATTCTAGCGACAGGAACGTTGCTGTGAATAGTAAATACTAATAAAGTACAAAGTTGGAAATGAATGTTAGCACAAGAAAGAAGAAAACAACCTCCTGCTTCCTCCTGTTCCATTCTCTCTCTCTAATATATTGTTCTTTTCTTCTTTGCTTTTCGTCTCTAGATCGCCTTTGGTTTCTTTCTTCCCTGGCTCTCTGCATGGCTTCAAACTTATCCTTTACATCACCCTTGCCAAGTTTGGGCACATAGGACTTGGGAACAGGTTTAGATGAAGAGAGCAGAATCTTCGTTAGAAGAAAAGAAAGAGAAAAAAGTTAAAAAAATAAAGATAGGCAGAAAATTAGATACAGACAAGAATATGCAATATAAAAATACTTATTGAAACAGAAAGCAGAAATGAGTTTGAAAACTGTTTGGAATGCTACAGCCTGATTGGATAATCTCTGCAGCCCCAGTGCGCAAAACAAAATTACAGAAAATGGAAGACATTGTAGTAACATAAAATTCTTTAGGAAGTTTGGTTTTATGAGTAGAATTCTACTAAATACCAATACAATGTAGCAGTCCAAAACTGAGGTCCACTGAGAAAACAACCTGTATTTTATTGCCATATTTCATTATTAATTATTCAGATTTAACTGGCCTTGAACTTACCCTATATTCCAGGTTGGGCTCAAACTTGCAGGCAGGCAATCCTCCTGCCTCAGCCTCCCAAGTACTGTAGGCATGCACCACCCCGACAAGGTGAGATTTCATTTTTGTTTTCTGAGACAGGGTCTTGCTACATAGTTCAGGCTGGCCTTGAGATCACTGCTTAGCCCAAACTGGCCTTGAACTTGTGGCAATCCTCCTGTCTCAGCCTCCCCAGCTAAGGCTTTTAAAATAGCTGCCTGTAGACCCAGCTACCTGGGAGGCCACTTTGTCATTTTAGAATGTTGGTCACTGAGCTCATTTTAAAATTCTCAGTAACTACAACAAAGGACCAAAGAAAAAGCTAAGAAAAAAATTACTGCAACTGTTAAAAGAAAGGTCCTCACATAAGTCAATTACCACTTTCTCCTGTGAGTGCAGCTCAAATCTGTTTTGTTTTGTTTTGTTTTGTTTTTAAAATAGTGACAGAACAACTTGTAAATCTCACCAAGACATTTGGAATGTCTCCATTTGGATGGCCGCTCAAGGTGGCGGCCATCATATTGGCCTCTCCCATCACCAGGGTAGTAATGCTGCTTCCCAGACTCCAGATGACAACACTGATCAGTGTGCAGCCTGCAGATGGGATCTCTTCTTGTTTTTCATCTTATTATACTATTAATTGTGAGATTTCCAGCAAATGAGTGTCCTCTCAATGATGCTATGCTATAGTCAACCCTACATTTCCCCTCATGTATTTATTTATTTATTTGTGCTGAGGATTGAACTCACAACCTCGAGATTGCTAGGCAGGCACTTATGCCACTGAGTTAAATCCCCAGCCATTTCCCCTCCTTTAAAAACAGCGATGTAAGTGCCTGCCTGGCAAGCATGAGGTCATGAGTTCAATCCCTGGTCCCCCCCAAAAAAAAAAGGTTTTAAGACTTACCTCTGCTTTTTGGGAAATATCATTCATGTTTGCTCTGTGTGGTTTTAAGTTGATGATGCTTTGTGTGTTTTTGCACCTGCAAAAGAAAAATTTTTTCAATATTTTATAAGGATTTTGGGCCAGGTATTCAGCTCAGTGGCATAAACACCTGCCTGGCAAACGTGAGGTTGTGAGTTTGATCCTGGGTACAAACATGAAGGAAAGGAGGAGGAAGATGGAGAAGGAAGGAGAAGAAGGAGAAGGAGAAGGAGAAGAAGAAGAAGAAGGAGAAGAATTTTAAAGACCCTACTTTAATATTACACATTTCTGTAAAGACGTGTTAATTCCTCCTGAGTAATCCAAGCAAGTAATAAATCATGATAACCTTCAGTTTCTTGTCCCAAGATTCAGGCTACGGACAGCACAGGTTCATGGAGTTAATTAAAGATCCCTGGGTGAACAGATCAGGTGGAAAGGGTGTGTACCGTGTAAACATTCAACACATTATTCCACAAATACCAAATACAGTAAGGCAGTTGGTCCTGTTTTTAGATCTATCAGTCTCCAGCTATGAAGAATTTTCTTTGTCTTTTTCTTTTTTGGTACCAGGTATCGAACTCACGACCACGCGCTTGGAAGGCAGGCGCTTATGCTGCTGAGCTAAATCCCCAGCCCCTGTGAAGAATTTTCTATCTCTCCCTTTAATTCCATCGTTTTGTTTTGTGTAATTTCAGGTTTGTTTGTTTCTTTGTTTGAACATATACACATTAGAATTCTAGCATCTTCTTTTGGAATTGATCCTTTGACCAACATGAAATTTCCCTCCTCACCAGGCATGGTAGGTAGCACACACCTGTAATCCCAGCACTCAGGAGGGGAGGCAAGAGGATCACTGCAAGTTCAAAACCAGCCTGGGCTACACAGTGAACTCAACGCCAGCCTGAACTGGGTAATGAGACCCTGTTTCAACGGGGGGAAAAAAAAAAAACCTTCCTCTTTATTATCTTGAACTTGTTTAACATTAAAATAGCCACGCTAGCTTCCCTAGGTTAACAGTTCTATCCATCCACTTTCAACTTATTTCTATTTTTATAGGTTAAGCATTCCTCTCAGCTGACAGAGCTGTTAATCTTCTGAGTGATGTCATATTGTCCCGAGCCTATGTATGCAATGTGGGGAAGCTTTCAGTATTCATGGTTATTGTCAAACGTGTGAAAATAATCACAGTTCAGTGTAATCATACATATGTAAGTGACTATTTTGAAAATACTTGGAAAATTACTCATGTAGAGGAGACCTGTAAAAATAATACAAAATTATTGCTGTCAATATATATTCATAGATTTTTTTTGAAAACACCCTCAAACACAGGTGTCCTAAAATGTCTGCATTTCATTTTTTATAAATCACACATAAATATCTGATCTATTTGTCTGTAGTCTTAATTAAAAGTTAGGTTTTTTTTTAAAAAAGAATTTCTCTTAGACATAGCAGATAACTGAACCTTGATCTTAAAAGTCAGTTTTGATTATGTCTGCCCTTTAATTTCAGTATTTCATTCATTACCAATGGGCCTACTATTTTATAATCCATTTTCTGAGATTGGGATCTTACTGTGTTACCTCAGCTGGTCTCAGAATTCTGGGCCCAAGTGAGCCTCCTGTCTCAGCCTCCCAGGTAGTTGGGTCTACAGGCAGCTGTTTTAAGAGACTTCATTGTTTAAGCAGTTCGGGGGTCACAGCAAAATGGTGTGCAAGTTACATGCCTTTCTCACATGAAATCTACCCCACACGGGCACAGTATCCCCCTGCCTCCTTCCCAGCACCCCCACCAGAGCAGCTCGTGTGAGAAATGGGAACTACACAGTCGCGTCCTTGGCATCCAGCGCCAGGGTCACAGCAGAGGTCGCTCCTCACCACTGCCTGCCACCTCCTCATCCTCCAGGTCCCCTCTGCAGCCAGAGAGCAGATTCCTCTCCTCTCCACAGCTGCGCCTGCTGCAGAAGGGCTCCCAGTGCCTCCCCCTTCAGGCTGGCTTTTCCTTCTCGGCTGGTGCTTGGCGTCAAATGCCAGGTCCGTTGGCTGCTGAGCTCGAAGTCTGCCTCTAAGCGACCGACATCCCCAGCCCGCAGGTTGGCTTCTGTCACTGAGACGCATTTGCGTTCTTTCCCGTCTTCTGATGGCTTGTTTGCTCACTTATTTTTAAGTCCAGTTTATTTCTCCACGCATCCGATGCACAGCTCCTTGATTGCTTCCAAGTTTTGGTGGCTGTAAATACCCCTGTCTAGGACTGTTGTGGATCTAACATTTCGGTTCCCTTCCGGCAACTACCAGGAGGCACAATTACTGCATCACATGCTGAGAGTCCACTAAGATCTGCGAGAAACCAGCAACTATCTCCCAAGGCGGCTATAAGAATGGGCATCCCCTGCCGTGGACGGGTCACTTGCTCCATGAGTTGACCGCACTTGATGTCAGAAGCCTTCTTGTCTCCCCCGTTCTGCTAGGTGGACAGTGCTGTCTCATTGTGGTGTGTGAGCATGCGTGTTCATGTGCGTGCAGTGCTGGGGCTCAAACCCAGAGGCTCGTGTGTGCCAGCCACGAGCTCCTCCACTGAACTACATCCCCAACCCTGTGTATCTTCTTTAGGAGGAGGTGCCTGTAAGGTCTTTGGCTGAGTTTTTATTAGGATGGCTGTGTTATTATGGTTGAGTCTTTAAGAACTTCCTTGCATATTGCAGGTACCTTTTATCCTTATTGTTGACAAGGTCTCACTATGCAGTTCAGGCTGGCCTTGAGCTCACTTTGTAGCCCAGGCTGGCCTCGAACTCAAAGCAATCCTGCCTCAGCCTCCCAAGTGCTGGGATTACAGGCATGCACCACCATGCCTGGCTAATGATCCTTTCTGATATGTTCTCTGCAAATACTGTATCCTAGCCTCTGCTCTGGGTTCTGTCTGTCTGTCTGTCTGTCTGTCTGTCTGTCTGTCTCTGTTTCTCCCAATTAGTTCCCTTGACAGCATCTCCCCATGGCAGGGCTCTCAGAAGTCCAGCTTACCGTTCTTTCTTCTACGGGTTGTGCCTTCTGTCACATCTGAAAAGTCACCTCCAACCCTGAGGTCATCTGGCCTTTCCTACGCTCTGTGCCAGGTTTTTACACTTCTATGTTTTACATTTCTCTGTGATCACTACTGGGGGGAATTCTGTGAGGGAAGGATGCTGGCTGGACTTTGTCTTTTCTCTTTGTGGTGTGAACATCCGGTGGTCTAGCACCGTTTGTCGGGAAAGCACTGCTCTAGCTCACTGCCTACTTGGTCATCACTTCCGAGTTGCCCATCGGGGCTCTCAGCCGCCCTTCCAGGGTTACCAGCTAAGGCAGCACTGGTGGCCAAGCCAACCCTTCTGCTGCATCACTCACCGGGGCACTGTGGCTTTCGCACATGACCACCAGAAGGGGGGGCTGTGGTACAGTAAGATTTTTTTTTTTTTTTTTTTTTGTCTTTTTCGGTTTTTATCGGTACCGGGGATCGAACTCACGACCACCTGTTTGCAAGGCAGGCGCTTATGCCGCTGAGCTAAATCCCCAGCCCCTACAGTAAGATATTTTGAGACAAAATTTCACTGAACTTTTATGAAGTATACTATTGTGATGGTTTTACTTACTTGTTTTGGCTTTTTGAGATAGGGTCTCATTAGTTCAGTAGTTCAGGCAGGTTTTCAGCTCACTATGTAGCTCAGGCTGGCCTCAAATTCGTGGTGAGCCTCCTGCCTCAGCCTCCTGAGTGCTAGGATTACAGGCATGTACCACCACACCCAGCTAATTGTCCTATTTATTATTTGGTGTTGCTGTTTATCTCTAACTGCACCTAATTTATAAATTAAATTTTCTCATGGGCACTGTAGTTAGAAAAAGGATAGCAGAGATAGGCTCGGGACGCTCTGTGGTCGCAGGCCTCTCTCAGTGCACCCAGGCAGAAGAGGGCAAACTGCGGGCCTCTTGAACTCGGTGTCTGTCGTCTTTGTTCTCCTTCAAAATCGTGCTGGTTGTGCCGCATCTTCCTCCCTCCACATAAACTATAAGGCCTGTCGGTCGATGTTCACGAAATAACCTGCAACCCATGGGCACTCATGGACCTGGGGAGAACGGCCTCTGTGTCCCTTCCCAGATTTACCCAAAGGCTCCCATCTGCGGCCGGAGCCTGGACCAGGCTGTGTGTCCTCCCCGTAAGGAAAACCCTGAAGCAGGAGCATGAGGAGCCAGTGTGATTCAGGGCTGGGCCTGGGCGAACTCAGGGTCACAGGTGAGGCCCCAGCCCTCCTGAGGACAGGCCCCACCACTACACCACCACTGCCGCTGCGAGGACCCTGCCGCAGCAGGCTTCAGGGGAAAAGCACATCCCAGCCCTCAGGCCGCTGTGCGGGGCTGTGCTCTCTAGGCCTCCACGGCCACACCCCAGCACCGCTGCAGGGGCTGCACTGCCTCTGCTCCCTGGCTTTCTGCGCACACAGAGGGTGCTCACTTGCGCTCACCTGGCTTCCCACCGACCCCACCCCTAACCCATGACTCCTGGGACAGGGCAGAAGCTGCCTTTCCCGGAGCTTCGGAGCCTTCCAGACCAGCAGACCACCGTCCCGCTGGAGGAGTGTGCATTATGAAATTAAAAATTCAGAACAAACGGCATGTGAGGAGCAATCGTGCCACGATTTTCATAGCCCTGACTCATAAAAATTCCAAACTCCTACTGCAAAATGTGATAAACTACTAACATAAAAACAATTGTAAATAATCTATAAGATTCCAGGGGCTGGGGATTTAGCTCAGTGGCATAAGTGCCTGCCTTATAAGCACGCAGTCGTGAGTTCAATCCCCGGTACCGATAAAAAAGAAAAAGACAAAAAAAAAATATTAATAATAATCTATAAGATTCCACTAGAACTTTTTGTGCTTAAATCTTTGTAGAAAACAGTAAACCTTATGTCCTAATAATTGCTAGTTAGCTGTTGCTTTTTCATACATCTTAGGATAGTTAGTGGTGCACACCTATAATTTCAGTGTCTCCGGGAGGCTGAGGCAGGAGGACTGTGAACCCAGCCTAAGT